TCTCAAGGAGGTCTCAGTGTGATGGGAGAGACAAGATATACAGAGAATAAATTGGAGATGATCCCAGAAGGAAGGCACCAAGATTAAGGAGGACTGGGAAAGGCTTCTTGTAGAAGGTGGAATTTTAGCTAGAACTTAAAACCGCAGAGGCCAATAGACGCAGATGAGGAGAGAGAGAATTCCAAGCATAAGGGCAGCCAAGGAAAATGCTTGGAGTTGGAAGATGAAGTGTTGACAACGGTCATTTATTGTAGCATAAGGGGACAAAGGTATAGGAATACTAGAAAGGTAAAATGAATTTCAATCTTACCTTAGACATTTACTAGCTTAGGGGGCACGGGCGAGTCATTTAACCTCTCTTAGCCTCAGTTTCCTTATTTGTAAAATGGAGATAATAATAGCACCTACCTTATAAGGTTGTTGTGAAGGTCAAATGCGATACCTTATGTACAACACTTCTCAAGCTTTAAATCACTGTATAAAGAAATGCTAGCTAATTTCTCTTCCCATTTTCATTTTTTTTTTTATTCTCCCATTTTCATTTTTGACCAGGACCTATGCATTCCACATCAGAAACAAAAGGCAACAAGAGAAAACATCCCGGAGTGCGAAGAGGTGCCAAAATATCCCAGTAAATGGGGCACTTTAAAAGATAGACCAGAACATGTGGCTGGGGGCTGCTGCTGTCAGAGACCCAGAGATAGAGGGAATCATGCAGGTCTACAAAGAACTGTACCAGGCATTATGACTGTCACCCAGTGCACCATCAGAGGGGCTCCAGTAAATAGAGCATTGGACTTGGAGGCAAGAAGCATGGGTTTTAATCCTGCTTCAGATACTTACTAGCTAAGTGCCCTTGAGAAAGTCACTTAACTTCTTTGTGCCTCAGTTTCCTCCTCTGTAAAATGAAGGATTGACACTTAGTGGCCTCCAAGGTCCTGTCTTGCTCTAAATCTATCATTTATGAATGACAATAAATTTTCCAGTTCCTTCTAAGGTGTCAGAGATGCAATTGCCCAATAGGTTGGGGAAGGAACAAGACGTACCTTCAGAGCAGGTGTAGATATCCTTGAGTTGCTTTCTCTTATCAGGCACGATGACATCTTTATTTGGCTGCCAAACTCTATCCCTCAGGTCTTTCTTCTTCCTGCTGACTTTGAGTTGTAAGAATGGCTCTCATAGCTATAGAGGCTTGAGGGGTGGTATGCCCTTCCCTCCAGTCTCCTGGTCCCATGAGCTCATGGTCTTGTAGGCAAGCCTCTAGGAGGGTTGGTGCTGCCTTCTGTTTGTATGTTCTTTCCTTTAGTACAGACTTTGTGAGAATTAAAACAGCAGCTGGCATCTATCTCCACCTCCCCCCTACTTCTGGGGCCATATTGGCTATGGGAGCGGTTGGAGCAACAACAGTAGAGGCAGTGGAAGACTGGTCAAGGAGGGGAAGGAATTGCTCTCAGATGGAGAACCCACCATAAGAAAAGAGCCCACTTGGTGTGGATCAGACTTTTAGCAGTAGAGTTGAAATATAAAATAGCTAACAAGTATCTCTGTTGCAAATGTAGAGAAGGACAGCTAGGTGGTGTAGTGGATAGAAGCACCAGCCCTGGAGTCAGGAGGACCTGAGTTCAAATCCAGCCTCAGACACTGGACACTTACCAGCAGTGTGACCGTGGGCAAGTCACTTAACCCCATTGCCTAGCAAAAAAAACAAAAGCAAATGTACAGAGGAAACTTGAATGCCCGCTTCTCAAGTGATTGTAATCATTCTCTTACTATTGTTTAAAACATCTCCTTTTTTCTGGGTGGGAATAGAATAGCCTTTTCTATACCTTATTCATGTTTTTACTTAGGGTGCCCTTTTCACTTCATCCTCTCCTCTATCCTGCTGGGGAGGACCCTTCAGACTAGGGTAAGAAATGGAATTGTTCCCCAAGATCTTGAGGTAGGGGTGGAATCAGCACACTGGGGAGCCTGATTCTCCTAGTCTTCCTTCTTTCTCCAAGTCCAGCACTCTATCCACTGTACCAGGTTGCTTTTAGAGTGGCCTAACATGTCAAAATGATGTAGAGTAAAAATATTTAATGGCCTTTAGGGGGGTAAATGGTTATTAATAGATTTGCTGCCTATTTCAGCATTTAGTACCTCGTAACTGGGTCTGATAGCATCTCACAGTGTTTGGCTGAGTGACGAGAGTTAAGTGGGTATCCTCCTCTGCCCTTTCCAGCACATAAATTCCACAATTAGTTGAGTGTTTGGGTTGGATTAATCTGTTTCTGGCATTGGTTTTGCTAATCCCAGCCTCCAGTTGCATGTTTGATGGAACAATCAAGAGAACTATTCTTTGCCAAGCAGACTTGCAAGATGCCATGCGTGCATCAGTGAGTAAATAACAATAGCCAGGATGTTGCTGAACTTCCAGAATGTTCCATATCTTTAAGCCAGCCTTTGAGAGATGAGTCTTGTTTCTTTGAAGGTGGTGGCTCTGCTGGCCAGTGATGATCACATGGAAAGCAAATTCAGTCTTATTTTCCTCTCCACCTCTCCAAAAATTGCTTGACACCAGACAAGGAGCTTCTTAATTAAATGAAGTCGCTCCTTTAAGGTAGAGAGGGAAGGAAAAGGTGGGAGAGCATGGGTAGTAGTGTTAGCATATTGCGGCGGAAAGAATACTGGCTTTAGAGTTCCAGGAACTGAGTTCAAATCCTGCTACTGACACATTCTACCCATGTGACCTTGGTCACACAGATGTCCAAGTGACGAGTCACTTAAACTCCCTGGATCTCAGTCCTTGTCTTTAAAATGATTACTTTGAAATAGATTGCTTTTGAGGGTTCTTTCAGCTCTAGATTTGTGATCCCTGTGATGTAACTGAGTGGTTAGAATAAGAAAATTGGCATGAGAGATGCTATGCTAGTCAGTGTATCATGTGCTGGCCTTGAATTCACTAGACTTGGGTTTTAGTCCTGATGCTACGACTTCCTGTGTCACCATTGGCAAATTACTTAAATCTCTCTGAGCCTCAGTTTTCTTATTAGTAAAATGGGGATAATAATAACTGTCTCAAAAGACACTTGTGAGTTAAGTATTCTCTGGAACTCAGAGACAGCTGGGTGGCACAGTGGAAAGAGGGCTGGACCCGTATCAGGGAGACCTGAGTTCAAATCTGGTCTCAGACACTTACTAGCTGTGTGACCCTGGGCAAGTCACTTAACCCTGTTTACCTCAGTTCCCTCACCTACAAAATGGAGAAAACAATATTGCCTGCCTCCCAGGATTGTGGTCATGATGAAATGAGATAATATTTGTAAAGTGCTTTGCAAATATTATTGTGCTTTAAGTGCTAGCTACTATCAGAGACTGCTCAGATCATGACGAACATACCCTTTTGTTCTCGCATCTGCCTAAGTAGAATATAAAATGTGGATACTTTAGTATAAAAGCAAAGTTTGGGCCAATAAGTCAAATATTTACGGAATACTGGGATCACGTATCAAGAATTGGGAAGAAGCTTAGAGACCAGCTAATCTAATTTTCCCATTTTACAGCTGAGCAAACTGCAGTTTAGGAAAAGGAGAGCTCTTTCCTTAGAGAGAGAATAATAGAGGCAGAATCTGAACCCAGACCGAATTCTAAATCCAGTCCTCTTTCCACCAAGCCTCACTGCTTGCCTTTGTATATGATGCACATTGTGCTGGTGCTAAGAAGGTGCAAAAGTATGTTTTAAGAAATTTATAGTTAGGAGAGACAGACAGACAGACAGGAAAAGAGGAGGGAGTGGGGAGAAGCAGAGACAGGGCAAGGAAGGAAGGGAGAGAGGGAGAGAAGAGGAGAGGGGACAAGGAGAGAGACAAAGAGACAGAAACAGACAGAGATAGAGAAAGAGAGATAGAGATGGAGAGAAACAGAGAGACACAGAGAGAGACAGAGACAGAGAGAGACAGAGAAAGAAAGAGACAGAGACAGAGATAGAGAGATAGAGACAGAGAGATAGGGAGAAAGACAGAGAGACAGAGAGAGAGAATCTGAATGAAACACAACTCTTATCGACCAGGAAATATAGTTCAGATAATATTATTAAACCTGAGGGCATTAGCTAGCTGGGAGTGACTCTGCTCTCTGATCCTGAGAGACTGGTGCCTGGAACAGAACTCTCTTGGAGGGTAACACCTTTTCTAGCCAAGAAACAAGCAAACTACTACCTGAGGGGAAAAAATGTCTGCATGTTTTTTTTTTCCCCTCCTGTCAGAAGATTTGTTTTTTTCCCCCTCTCTGGTCCTATGACTAGGTGTGTTAAGGTTTCCGTCTTTTTTAAAGAGAGAACAAAGAAACCCTTAGGATTTTGAACGAAAAGAACACAGCGGGGTCCGCTTGTCCAACTGTGAGGAAGATAATGCTCCAGCTAAGGACGCTGGCCGAAGCCAGAAGAAGCAAGCAAAAAGAAATCATACAAGCTATGCCCAATGGAACCAAACCAGTGGAGCTAGTGGAGAAGAATCATCATAATAATAGCCCCAGAATATGTTCATGAGCCTGAAGCATCAGAGACATGAGTTGCCATGTCTACATGTGTTTCTTTCATGTGTATTCCTCTATACGTGCACACAGGCAAAACATGTATCTTATATGTGTCTAGTATTCACTGAGGGGGTGGCGTTTGTGGGAGGATGGAGCCCAGGTATATGGAAGAATCATTGAGCTGCTATTTATTTTCTATTATGCTCTGTTTTTGTTTTTGACTCTCTCAGTTATGAGATCGTAAGCTCATAGAACTAGAGCCGAAAGGCTATTTAGAACCCATGAAGTCCTACTCTCTCATTTTACAGATGAGGAATAATGGATAATAACTGCACCTACCTGACAAGATTGTTGTGAGGCTCAAATAAGATAATATTTACTTTTCAAAAATGCTTAGCACAGTGACTGGCACATAGGAGGCACTATATAAGTGCTTATTCCCTTCCCCCTTTACAGATGAGGAAACTGAGACACAGAGTGAGCGGTTAAGTGATTTACTAAGGATTACAAAGCTAGTTAAGTATCTGAGGCAAGATTTTAACTCATTTTCTTGACTCCCAGTCCTCTACCTACCTTTCTTCCCCTGGCCTTTTATGCTATCCATCCTTTTATGCTATCCAAGTTGCACAAACAACTTGATCTTGTGAGGTATAGAGAAAAGAACCCTAGAATTGGCTTTAGAGGCCCTGGCTTGGAGATATAGCTATGACACTTACTAACACAATTCTGTATCTCAAAGTGGCATTATTGTTATTACTGTTTCAGCCTTGGCCAAACTCAATAGCGTTTTCATCTTAGTCTTGTAGATAAGTATAGAAAACAAGAAACATGTGCCTTTGCAGTTTTCACCAGCTTGTAAAATCTTTACCATCTGTGTACCCTTAATGATGCCATCCTAACAAGCAGCAGCCCAGTCATCACAGCCCCTTTCTGGATCTTTAAAGAAGGACTGTGTTAGCATTGGCACAGAATTGCTCAGTTATCATCCAGTCTGAAGACAAAAGGGAATAACTGATTTCTCCTCAATTCCGTTATTTTGAGTTCCTCTTAACCACACAGTAAGCATTCAAGTAGGCCACAGAAAATAAGCACGGTATTCAGAAATTTCCTCATTCATTGTACAGAAGGGCGTATTCAAAAATGTTTTCAGCCATTGTGGACAATCAGGCAATGACCTTGATATTTTTCTTCAATCAGCAAAACACATTCTCTTCTTTATAAGTTACTGTTTCTTCCCATCTCCCCCCATCACTTTCACTGTTTCCAGGGCACAAGTAACTATGGAGAAAGGGGTCAATAATGGAAATACAAAGGTGGAACAATTCCCATACAAAGTGATGGTCATTATCCTGGGAAAGCTGGGACCTGGAGAGTGCTGTGGGGGGTGGGTGGGGTTGACAGGATATAGCTCCCTAAGCCTTTGGTCCTCTGGGTCAATAGCGTTACAAGTTCTATTAGGATATACATCTAAGATTAGGAGGTATAAAGGGAAGTAAGATTGTATGGGGTTTGTGTTGGGTGAATAATTCTGTTTCCAGGCTTTGGGTCATGAAAAGCAGGTCATAACTGGGGGTGATTTCCTTTCTTCTTAGTTAAGTTAAACTTCTGGTTTCTGGACCTGGAGGTAAATGATTTTCTCTTTAGTTTTTCTTTGTCTGTGGAGACAAAACAAGGTCGAGAGGGAAGAAAGAAATAATGAGGAGATTAGAGATCAAAGGAAAGTCCTCACAACAACGCCAGATGAAAAGGGAGAATGATACAGAATAAGGGTTGGTTAGACTGAACTCCACAATGGATTCTGAGCTGCCATTCTCAAATGAGAAACTCAAAGAAACTGATCAATAGTAAACACAGGAGATTTGTAATTCCTTTCTCATCTAGGCTGCAGGACTGACCCAAAGCCCTTCACCCAGTCCTTTAATACCAAGGGAAACAGATGGGAGTTTATAAACTCCATGTTAGAATAGATTAAAGTCACAGATATGTTCTATTGCCAATAGTTCTTAAAGTAGAAACCAAGTGAAAGTCTCCTGAGATGTTAATTTCCTTCCACCCCAGTCTGAAAAGGGAGGAATTTAATTCAAATAGGCTTTTTAAAATCTGCCTCAGTGATCACCTTAAAGGCATGTCATATTTCAAGAAGTGCAAAAGATGGGTATGGGGTTGAATAACAGCCCTATAATAATCCTAACTTGTAATATCCCACAGATATTATATGCAGAAGAGTTTATTATGGGTCATCGATCAAATTCTCATAACCATCTCTAAGATCTCAAACAGAGCATGCCAATGCCCTTGTGTTTCTGCTTTGGCCATTTCTTTTAGGTATGTCTTTGTTTATATGGTCATGCAAGACTCAAGTTCCCATTTTTGAGAGCAGGAATTCCACTGTAATACTAAAACAAAAACCCTCTGTGTTACTCTTAGGAGAAGTTTCTGTGGATTACTTAAATAGGAATAATTGAAATAAACATGTTTAATATCTGTGCATCATAGTGACCTCCTTGACTGGCACGTACATCCTAATAGACAAAAGATTCTTTAAAAATATTCATCATTTACAGATCATGTGCCATACCTAGAAAGAATTATCAGTTGACTGAAATTCTCACCAAGAGAGGTTAGAAAAAGCTTATGACTTTGTCAGATATCTAAGGTTGGAATGAAACCTTAGAGGTTGTCCCGTTTGGATCTCTGGCTCTACAGATGATGAGATTGAAGCCCAGAGTGGCGAAGTGATTTACCTTAGGTCACTCAGAAAATAGTGTCAAAGTTGGAATTTGAACCCACATTCTCCGGCTTAAAATCCAGCGTTCTTGCTGCTATACCACGCTGCTTTCTGCGAAGTGTTTTGTGTTTGAATTAGCATCGCATAGTGAACAAGTAGACTGGTCTCAGAGTCAGGAATTCCGGTGTTCAAATCTGTCTGACACACACCAGCTAATTCCTCTGGGGAACTTGCTAAGACTATAAATTACAGCTACCCTAATGATCTACATAGGTGGAAGATGTCTCCGCATTGGCAATACCCCAACACTGACAAAATCACAGGTCTAGATTCTCCCCCTCCCCTAATTGCGCTGATTCTTCTTAAAACCTAGAAAAACTTCTTTGGCAACCTACATAGAATCCTTTTCACCATCACCCACCGCCACATATTCCCACCTCAGAGAGAGTCAACCATTATGTTGGGCACAGCTTTCGGCACTTGATGGGAAATAGTATCTTTTGGTATGGGTTATTTCCTATTAAATTTTTTTAATTGGTTGATTTAGATTTCGGGGACTGGTTCAGGTCATTTCAGGCCCACCCTGTTTTGGGCTCACGTTTTTATCAATAACATCTCTCCATCACGTAACAAATTAACAAGAGGCAAAATTAAATGGAGAAAAAAGAACAGAAATTCGATACGAATAGGAAAAAATCAAAAGCGGTGAACTGCAATGTTGGGTCAGGGGTCAAAAAAAACTGCTTTGTAATTTTTAAAAAATGTCAAATTCAAAGTAATATGTATGGAGACTTAGATGCCTAATTTCTTCTTTTGAGAGCCCAGCTGTGGAAACATCTATAAAGACTCTGGAAGTGTTCAAGCAGAGGCTGCATGATGTACCAAGCATCAGGGATGCTCTAGAAAGAATTTCTGAACTGAATGGGAGGTCGGAGTTGGTGACTTTGAAGACCTGTAATCAGATTCTGTGATATTCTCCTTCTAGGCCAGGTTTTAGACCCCTCTATGCTCTCTCAAACAACTGTGTACAGATGGCCCAAAGAGCTAAAAACTAGAGAAAGTCTTGCGTTCTTGGATTTAACCTGGCACATTTGGCCCAGATACACACAATAGAAATGTCTGAGGTACATTCCATCAAGAGGCCTGCTAACAACATTGGATGCAGATTTCCATTTTCCTTTAGAAGCCATGGCACCTTACCTCTGCATATTTTCAACTTCTTCAATGCTCTCAGGTAAGGTCTTCCCTTTGGTCTCAGGTAGCATCAATACCAACACCCCAGCGATTAAGCCAATCATAGCTAGAAGTTAAACATACATAGTCAGAATCCAGGCTACACATGTGAAGTCCCATTTAGGGCTAAATAATGTGTTTTTTTTTTATAATTAGAACTAACTTGATTTTTTAAAATCATCGTACCATATTTATTTACAGATTCTTTTACAACTGCTAGTTACTCTATTTTTTTCATCATAAATATGATACTGATAGCAAAACTATGCATAATAAAAATTCCTTACAGGAAAAAGAAACTCTTGAAAATTGAGTTAGAAGTCATCCTTGGCCAGTAAGTCCATATTATTGTGAATCTTTGATGTTAGAAAAAAACCTTGGTGGCAAAAATGACCAGGAGGTGAACTGTCAAGTAAACGAGTCAACAGCATTTATCAGACACATACTATGTGTAACGTATGGTGCTATAAGGTAAGGATATAAAGAATGACAAAAATGGTCTGTGCTCTCATGGAGTTCAAGTTCTAATGACAGGAGACAACATGCAAACAACTATGTACATATAAGACACATACAGGGTAAATTGGAGATAATCTCAAAGGGACAGCACTAACCTTGAGGGGGACTAGAAAAAGGTGGAATTTTAGCTGAGGTTTAAAGGCAGCCAGGACCAGCCAGGAGGTAGAGTTGAAGGTGTAGGACATTCCAGCCACCAGGGAGAGTCAATGAAAAGAAAGAGAGTTGGGAAGTGAGGTGGCTTGTATAAGGAATGAAAAGAAACCAATGTCACTTAGATCAGGGAGTAGAATGTAAGAAGATTGGAAAAGCAGGAATGGGTCAGGTGGTGAAGGGCTTTAAAAGCCAAACAGAGATCATATTTGATTCTGGAGCTAATAGAAAGCTAGTGGAGTTGACTGAAATGGGCAGGGGAAAGCAGGTTATAGGCTCAAACCTTTGCTTTAGGTAGATCATTTTGACAGCTGAGTGGAGGATGGACTGGAGTGGGGAGAGTCTTGAGACAGGGAAACCAACCAGAGACTATTACAATAATCCAGATGTGAGGTGATGGGGCCTGTACCATTGGTGATGGTAGCATCAGAGGAGACAATCTATCTTGGAAGAGAAATGTTGTGAAGGTAGAACTGGGCTCATACCTCCTCAGTATCCTCTGCCCCTGAGATCCCTCTATTGGAGGACAGAGTGGAGAGCTCCTCCCCAAACCTCTATTTAAGGAGGGGGGCCAGGCCAGCCATTTCTTCATTTCCCACCCAGCTTCACTCCTTTGGAATTCTCCATTGTGTCCCCAAGCTTGGTACCTCCCCCTCCAATTTTTCAGTTTCCTTTTGTGCTTTGTCTTCCCCCATTAGATTGTAAGCTCCTTAAGGACAGGGACTGTTTTTCTTTTTTCATATTTGCATGCTCAGCACTTAGCACAATGTTTGGAATATATTAAGTGTTTACATAAATGTTGACTCACTGATATGGGAGAGTGAGGAGACAAGGATAACACCTAGGTTGCAAGCCTGAGTGAATGGGAGATTGGTGACTCCCTTAACAGTTTATAAAGAAGTAATGAAAAGGGGGCAGCTAGGTGGCGAAGTGGATAGAACACCGGCCCTAGATTCAGGAGGACCTGAGTTCAAGTCTGGCCTCAGACACATAACACTTACTGGCTGTGTGACCCTGGGCAAGTCACTTAACCCCATTGCCCAACAAAAACAAATAAACAAACAAAACAAAAAAAGTAATGAAGAGGGGGAAAGATAATAAGTTCTCTTTTGAAAATGTTGGGATTCAGATGTCTATGTGACTTTCTGCTGGAAATACCTAATAGGTAGTTGTGATATGGGACTGGAGATCAGGAGAGAGGTTAAGGTCTGGAAAATAGATCTGAAAATGATCTTCATGGAGATAATAACTGAATCAACAGGAGCTGATGAGATCCCCAGGTGATCTAGTATGGAGAGAGAAGTGAAAGAGGATCCAGAACAGAGTCTGGGGGAACGCCTCTGGTTAGTGGGTGTGTTCTGGGTGAAGATCCAGAAAAGTCAGAGAACTGCACTATTCTAGAAGGTCACAAGTAAGGAAACATGTTATAATTGAGGGGCAGCATAGAATAGTGATAGAAGAGAGTATGTCTCAATGATATACTTAATACACAGGTACTAAGTTGGAAATTCCAAATTCTGTGCTGGGCTTTTTCAATTATACCACTCTGCCTCTTACACTTCCCCATTTTGCTCCTGTTTCTCTAAAATTTATATTATGTTCATTTTGCCTTGTAAACAATAGGTAGGATTTCCAAAAGGCCAAGAAGAAGATGGCCATAGTATTTTAAGTGTGGTGAACAGTTAATACAAAGGCCCAGAGGTGGGAGACAGAACATTGTGTACAAGGAACAGCAAATAAACCACTTTGACTGGACTTTGGAGGGTGAGGAGGGAGACAATCTTCCTGCTAGCACTTTACCTGTTAGCAGCTCTGAAGAAATGCTTGGTAAGGAAAGATGAAACTACTGACAAAAGGAAAATTTTGAGGTCATTTGGAGATATCATTCTTGTGTTCCCCACTTATCTACTATTAGGAGATAATTACACAATCCTTATTCTCTGATGGAATAACTAAGGTATTTAGAAATTATATTTTGGACAATTTTTTTTTCATTCTGTAAAAAACAAGATTTAACTCTTACCAAAAACCAGTAGGGGGAGTTCATGCCAGAGATCAGTCAACCTGTAGACAAGGAATGGTGTTACCATTCCACCGATATCACACATTGAAGAGCAGACCATTACACCAAGATTCCTAAAAATAGAAAAGTTTTTATAGATCAAAATATGGTAGCTCAAAACCCCCAAACAACATCTCAAAACACCTCAAATATTTTCTTAGGTCCCTAAGACATCTTCTCTTTAGGCAACTGCTAAAAATTTTTCAAAGCAGAAGGAAAATGAAAATGGTTTACTCTCTCATTATATATGATACCTTTTGCTCATAATTTCAAGGGAGAAACAACACAATTTTCCTTGTCAATGAAGGCTCAAAGTATCAAATTTGAAGTCAGGTTGTTTCTCAGTGGTACATCTCCTCTTATCCATTTGTAGTTGTTCATTTGTTCAGTCATGTCTGACTTTTCATGACCCCATGGACCATAGCACACCAAGCTTTCCTATCCTCCAATATCTCCTGAAGTCTGTCCAACTTCATCTTCATTGCTTCCATGACACTATCTATTCATCTCATCCTCTGCTGTCCCTTTCTCCTTTTTCCTTCAATTTTCCCCAATATCAGGGTCTTTTCCATCTTATTATGTGGCCAAAGTATTTAAGGTTCACCTTCAGTATTTGTCCTTTTAATGAGCAGTCTGAATTAATTTCCTTAAGTATTGACTGATTTGATCTCCTTGCTATCCAAGGGACTCTCAAAAGTCTTCTCCAGTATCATAATTTGAAAGTGTTAATTCTGTGGCACTCAGCTTTCCTTATACAGTTAGCATATATCATTATTATATATCATTATTATATAATTATGTATTATATATATACATTATACATCATACATTACTATGTCAGTTACACATTACTAATGGAAAAAACCATAGATTTGATTGTATGGTCCTTTGTTGTCCAGATTGTAGGTAGGTGGCACAGTGGATAGAGAGCCAGGCCTGGGCTCAGGAAAATTCATCTTCATGAGTTCAAATGTGGCCTAAGACACTAGCTATGTGACCCTGGGAAAGTCATTTAACGCTGTTTGTTTCAGCTTCCTCATCTGTAAAATGAGCTGGAGAAGGAAATGGCAAACCACTCCAGTATCTTCGCCAAGAAAACCCTAAAAGAGGTCACAAAGAGTCAGACACGACTGAATAACAACAGCTATATTTGCCATGGCTTTCCTTCCAAGGAACAATTGTCTTTTAATTTCATGGCTACAGTCACCATTTGCAGTAATCTTTGAGCCCACGAACATAAAATCTGATATTGCTTCCATTTCTTCTCCCTCTATTTGCCAGGAAGTGATGGAACCTGTTGCCAAGATCTTAGTTTTTTGATGTTAAGCTTCAAGCCAACTTTTACACTCTCCTTTTTTCACCCTCATCAAGAGGCTTCTTAATTCTTCTAAACTTTCTGCCATCAGAGTACTATCATCTGAATATCTGAGATTGTTGGTATTTCTCCCAGCAACCTTAATTCTGAGGGGCTTTTAATCCATAGGACTTGTCAGTTGATTAGCTCTTTAAACTGATCTTCCCTTTTGTAACTTGGCATTTCCTGAGCAGTTTGAAGCTTATCCCAAACATTCTTGGTTTTCCCTATATGTTCTTTCTATTCAGTCCACAATTTGCATTTGTAAGCTATAGAAGGGTTGACATCAGGGCACTTTGCCCCCATGACCTCTGCCACATAATCAAAAACAACAAAGTCCATGCTGTGTCATTGCATCAATAGGCAAACATTTCTGGTCATTTCATTCTTCATGCTGAGCAAATTCCTCTTACCTGATGAATGTGGGATACAATTCAGCATTGACCAGGCAAACCATTTCATAGGCCATTGTGATCCCCAATCTACCCAGGCATGCAACTGTAATTTTTAGCCACATTAGATCTAGAGGGAAAAGATTTCAACATATAGATTGGAGTAAGAAAAATACTTAGGCGTACTACTATGATACCATATAATCTTACAAATGGCATCTAATAATGAGAGTTTCTATATCTCTGGAATAAGGATGGGAGCAATGATAACTTTTCTAAATAACAGGAAAATATTTCAGAAAATTCTCTGTTCCATTTTGTTCTAATTCAGTCCAAATCAACAAACATTTATTAAGCACCCACTACATGTAGAGCACTTGAGCAATGCTAGTTCCAGGATAGATGACAAAGTTTAATTAACATGGATCCCAGCCTTCATGGAACTTAACATCTCTAGTCACTGTGTGAATTACCAATTAACTTGATAATCTTATAGAATGGTAGTTTTTATTAGGAACTTCTAACAGCACTTCCCTATCTAGGGTACTTATTGGTACCTTGATGGCTCATAAACGAATTGATTGGTCTCAAGTGACCCCTTGGCACCTCATGGAAAATGGACTATCACTATGAAGACTGTCCCCAGAATGAATTGACCCAGACTCTTGGGAGGAAAGTCAACTGTGAGGGGAGCTGTGGCTCACACATACTCATACACGCACATACTTTGGAAAATAATGAAATTTAGAAAAAATTTTTTGATAGATAGTGGCTACTTGAAGTAGTCCAATAAAATTCCATATTGTTCAAATGACCTTCCATTTTCTTTAACTGGGGCCTTTGGTGTTCTACTTTGTGTGTGATCATCACAGTGTGGAAGCTACATAAGGGTAAGAGAATGACCCATTGATTCTATGGTTTTTCAGCATTTTATCTTTTTGAGGCAGTATACAAAGAACATTGGATTTGCCATCAGAAGTCTAGAGTTGGAGTCAGGGAGCTGCCATTTACTGCCTGTGTGACCTTGAGCAAATAACTCCAATTCTGTGAGCCTCAGATGAGAGGGTAGAGAAGATGACCCCGAATGACCCTTCCAATTCTAAATCTATGATCCCATGATTGTATGAGAAGCAGCCTTCTTTTTCAGGGATTCTATCTTGCCTTTGATTTCTTACTTGTTGGAGCATCTGTTTTTAAGTTTTTGATGGGTATTGAATTTCGTGCTTTGTTCTTTACACTGCTTTAACTCCTTATATCTCCTTAATCTCTTAACATTGCTTTCAACTGCTGATTATAGGAATCTAGATTTCTGATTTGTTCTTACCCTGAAAGGGAAGCTACATGGTGCAGTGGACAAAGCACTGGGCTTGGAGTCAGGAAGACTCATCTACATGAGTTCAAATCTTGTCTCAGACACATACTAGCTGTGTGATCCTGGACAAATCTTTTAACTCAGTTTCCTTGTCTGTAAAATGACCTAGAGAAGGAAATGGCAAACCACTCCAGTATCTTTGTCAAGAAAACCCCAAATGGGGTCATGAAGAGTCGGACATAACTGAAAAACACCTGAACAACTCTTATCCTGAATTTATATGATATATTCCTTTGTTATTATTATTATCTCATTATAATATTTTTCACCATTTTCTTCATCATCATCATCTTTATTATTAATAAACATTGGAAAAAGCATCTGCATTGTGTCATCATTTGAAGAAATGAACAAAATGGCCTTTTTGGAAAGCCAAAGAATGACCCTCAAACTCACCATCGGGAAGAAAAGCTGAGATGAGACAGGCTGCCCCAGCCGCCATATTTGATGCAGCCCAAGGGTAGCGGCGGCCAATGCGATCAATGGTGAAGATAATGATAAAAGCAGCTGGGAACTCAACCAGAGCAGAATAGAAGAAATCCAAATAGATATTCCCACCTGCAAGTCCCATGTGCATGATGAGGCCCTGATAAAGCACAGCACTTGTGAACCTTAGCAAAGAAAAGAAGCAGAACAAGGTCAAGCTCTTTTTGATCGTTTCTTCATTACTTTTTGGCGGGCTAGGAAAAACAAAGAAAAAAGCACACATCTAATGACACACACCTCTTATATAGAAAGATGCTTGGCTGAAATTAATACCCTACTTGTTCACTGAAAAACTGATTTGTATATAGGATAGAGAAGGAAAGTTCAGCCCCACCTACCCCCAATCCCATGATAGGTGCTTAAGACAAATGTCTCAGGTAATTTTGTGGTAACAATAATAATTTTGGGCAGCTAGGTGGCACAGTGAATAGAGCACTGGGTCTCAAGTCAGGAAGACTCATCCTGAGTTCAAATGTGACCTCAGACCTCACTAGCTGTGTGACCTCCAGCAAGTCACTTAACCCCGTTTGCCTCAGTTTCCTCATCTGTAAAATGAGCTGGAGAAGGAAATAGCAAAACAAACAGGAAACCTTTTTAGCAAAGCAGTTTCCTAGGCTCAATGATATATTATCTTAGAATTAAAGGAACATAATTGGAAGAGACTGGGGGTTATGTAGTATATGACCCCCTCAACATACAGAGAAGATATGGAGGCCCAGGGAACTGAAGCTATTTACCCACAGCTAAGAAGCAGTAAATTTGAGGTTTGAAGCTAAATCCTCTGACTCCAAAACCTTGCTTTTCCCATTTTACCCAAGGTCTTAACCTGTGGTCTGTTGTTTTAAAAAAGACTTGGGGAGATTTGGAATACTGAAGTCCCGTGCAGCGAAAGGGCCCTCTCCTTTATCTGTTACCTAGGTTGCCAGAAGAGGACACGAGGTTTGGGGCAGAGCCCATAGTCATTGGCCAGGTGTTGGGGATAAGGAAAGGGCCCTGACATTAAGAGGTTCCCTATTTAGTCCTCTGGTTGCTAGGTGGTGCAGTGGATAAAGCACCAGCCCTGGAGTCAGGAAGACTTGAGTTCAAATGTGGCCTCTGACACTTCCTAACTGTATGACCCTGGGCAAATCAACTTAACCCTGTTTGCCTTGGTTTCCTCATCTGTAAAATGAGCTCGAGAGGCAAATGGCAAACCATTCCGGTATCTCTGCCAAGAAATGGAGTCATGAAGAGTCAGACACAACTGAAAAATGGCTAAATAACAATTCAGCCCTTGTTCTTCCTATTCCCAAAGTAACAGACTTGGAAATCAGTTATGGCTACTGAATTGCTGGTCACGGCTTGGAGCTACAGTTCATACAGTTCTGAGAGAACTGTTATGGCTAGAGGAGGAATGCCAGCTGACAACCCTCTAATGCAGGAGCAAACCAAGAGGAAAGGGCAGCAAGCAAGCTTTATGGAGGAGAAGATACTCATGCGGTGCTGTGGTGGTCAGGTAGGATGATGGACACAGGTGTGCTAAGTATGCCCTGCTACACCCTAATATGTCCACAAAATGTAATTTTGTATTTTAAAGGAACATTTAGTTGTAAATTTGAAAAAAATGTTAAATTTCTTCAGTTTAATGAACAAAAATAATGTCCTTTTATGATTGAATATTCAATTAAAGATCACCTTTAAAAAATTCCCTGATGCACACCTTAATGAAATGTGCTGGGTATGCCGATGCAACCTCAACCCTGTGTGGATGCTCTTTCTTAAGATTCCAGACTATCAGTTGAAGAGTTCCTATTGGTCACTAAATAAATAGCACAAAGTTCATTGTTGATTGAGGCACTACTCAATCATCTGTGAAAACTGGAGAAAGCCCTAATACTTCATTTCAATCAATGGCTGAAGTTTCCTCCCAAGTCAAGTCTTTCATAAATAACTATGGAACTTTTTGTTTTCCCCTAACTATTTTTTGGATTTGTCAATGAATCCCAACATGATCCAAAGAAAGAAACAACAGAAAGAAAATGAATTACTCCAAAAACTGAGCTGATCATAAGACATTTTCATCTATCACCTTATTATTGATGTCTCTTCCATTTTACCATTGGGAATTTATTAGATTATAATAACAACTCTATGCTACAGAGCAGTTGTTGATGGTGTATTAGTAGAGGGAACTTCCTCACTAGAAGTTTCCTTTACCAGGTTCAGAACTTCGCCCCCTCCTCCCCCCCCAACTGAAAAGTTTATAGTGCAGGTATCCCTTCCACGTTGTGGGGGTTAAGGGCATGGTGCCCTCATGATCTGGAAAATCTGTTTAGTAATTTGACTCTCTTCATACTAGAGAAGAAATCTGAATTTTTTCTTTTTATTTTATGAGGTGTTTACAGTACTTTATTGTAAAATTTGGGTTAAGTATTTGGTCATAGGCTCTGTGTCATCTGTGGCTTCCACAAAACTCCTCAAAAATTCCCATTTAATTTCTTTTGCTGACCCATGATGTATCAAAACCATGACAGAGAAAACCTCAATGTGGAAGGGATAACTGTATATGCTTTAAAGTTTGCAGAACGCTCAAGTCTTTCTCCCCCCAAAGGCATATTAAACATGAATTATCTCATACGTGACTATCCTGAAAACCAATAGGAGGGTCCTAACACCCAGAAAGAGTATTTCAGAATGCTAAGAGAGGAGAAAGTGGCCCCTTCCACACACGTGCACACAAACACTTCTTTCTTCTCTTCTCCATTCTTCCTCTTTTTCTTCCTTTCCCTTTCCCTCTCCTCTTTTCCTAACCCTCTCCCCTCTCCTTCTAATGTTGTCATGTAATTGAAACTGCAATCAGATACTTTGGGTTTGAATCCTGCCTCTGAGGTCCTTTACTTATATGTTCCAGGCCTCAGTTTCCTTCTCTGTAAAATGAAGCAGCTCCAAGGTCCCTTTGAACACTAGCATTCTATAATTGTAATCAACCAGATCTTTCTTCTAATTTTACCAAATTAATTTCTTTTTTTGGGGGGGGCGCCTATGCAATGGGGTTAAGTGACTTGCCCAGGGTCACACGGCTAGTGAATGTTATGTGTCTGAGGCCAGATTTGAACTTAGGTCCTCCTGACTCCAGGGCTGGTGCTCTATCCACTGTGCCACCTAGCTGCCCCTGCCAAATTAATTTTTACCAATTAATTTCTAATTCTACCAAATTGGAATTTTAGGAAACCAGCAATGGCTGTTATCTATGTCTGTAATTTCCTTCTGTTAATGATATGTGTCTTATTAAACACAGACTAATGCAAACCCATCTTTTTGGTCTAATTGATCACAATAGTATTAATTACACTTTCAAAATACTTAGGCTAAAATAATTTAGTTATCTATCATGTAAAAAGTGAAACTGTGTCATAATTGTTAGGAAATGGAAGGAAGAAATAAACCAGATATCCTCTGTTATCAAAGTCCCAGGAAATCTTTAAAATTCATTTCTGGTGATCTTAGGTTTTATTGGTGAATTTTGAGAATTAAATGAGAAAAGGATAAGTGAGGTGAGGTGAAAGGCCAGGAGGTGGGGGGTTGGAGACCAGCTACCGTTCATTTTATTCTGCCAGGGTATTTTTTTTTTTTTTAATTTCCTGGAGGCTTCTTTGTTTAGTGGATTGAGAAGGCTACAATGCTTCTTACAGGATATGAATGAACTAACGAACAGTTTGGAGGAGCAGTGTTTAATTTTAAAATATTGGAAATAGAAAGTGGGGCCAGGCCTTCGTTAGCTGAGTGATGGATCAATCACCCATGATGACGTATTTCTTTTTTATCTCATGATGCCTTTTCCTTGCTACCTACTCCCTTCTGGACAGCCTGACCCTGCCATCAGTCAGTCATTCAGTTAGCAAGCATTTATTAACAGTAGAAGGACTAGAATTTATGGATACCTTGAAGGACCAAACTGCAGCAATTATTGCACTACATTTTTTTTAATCCATAAGAGAAAGAAAATAGAGATATTTCAAAATAAAATTATAATATGTTTGTAATTGTTTGTATCTAAGTTATATTTGCACAGATAGGAGAAATTATGATAAACTATTAAAAAATTCTTCACATCAATTGACTCTCCTGCTCCTTCTAGTATTCTAGGGGTGGGGAACATTTGGCTTCAGGTCCCATGTGGCCTTCTAGGTCCTCAAGTACGGCCTTTTGACTGAGTCCAACTTCTACAAAACATATCTTTTCATTAAGGGGATTTGTTCTGTGAAGTTTGGAGCCAGTCAAAGGGTCACACTTGAGGACCTAGAGGCAGCATATGGCCTTGAGGCTGCAGGTTCCCCACCACTGTAACACTTACCATGTCCCAGGTGCTGTGCTAAGTGCTAGGGATACAAAGTAAAGCAAAAAAACAGCCCCTACCTTCAATGAGTATACATTCTAATGAGGGAAACAATGTATAAATAATCATTATTTGGTTTGTGCTTTGGGCATGCAAATAACGTCAATATTATCTGAAGTCATAATCAGATGTAATTACAGGGCTTTAAATGAAGTACACATTGCATTTTAAAGCCCATAATTAATCTTCGAATTATCCCTGCCATGACTCCCCTCAGCTATTGTGGACAATTGGGATACAACTGAATAGATCTTTTGCTCTATTATCATGAATAATGTGAGATAAGGGGCAGGGGAAGGCTGTCCTTGGAGTCAGGAAGACTTGGGTTAAAGTCCTCCTTCTGACAGCTACTGGCCATGTGACCACTAAGTCATTTAACCTCTCAGTACCCCAAGCAACTCTGTAACATGATTAAGTTCTTGATGAATGGCTAATGTATATCTGTGAAGGGGGTTTCCATCCAATTGGTCCTCTTCGATAAGGAAGGACCACCATCACCACCACCACCACCAATGCCCTAGGGATATGTTAATTCTCATTGAATTCCCTGCCTGCATGTAAGCACAACGGCAGCAGACTCTATCTCCTCTTCTCCTCACCCCCTACCCCCAAATAGAAAATCATGTGACGAATGCCTCCTGGTACTTCTTACCAGTTGTACATCAAGATCAAAGTATACTTCCTTATCTGAGGAGTTCTGACCAAGTCAATAAAGGAAGGATCCATCTTTTCACTGGCTTCCTCATCAGGTTTAAGGCTCTGAGAATGAAAAGAATAAGTGAATATAGCATAATGGTTAATGTATGATGTTCCTGAGTAACATGAAAGAAATTACATTATGACCTGAGTGAAAAAATGAGGAATGAGGATGGAGACACCTCTCTTTTGTTGTTGTTCAGTTGTTTTCTGTTGTGTCCAAGTCTTCGTGACCCCATTTGGGGTTTTCTTGGCAAAGATACTGGAGTGGTTCCCCATTTCCTTCTCCAGCTCATTTTACAGATGTGGAAACGGAGGCAAACAGAGTTAGATGACTTGTCCAGGATCACACAGCTAGTAAGTGTCCAAGGTGGGATTTGAACTCAGGAAAGACTAATCTTCCTGACTCCAGGCTCAAGCTTTATCCACTGTATCACCTAGCTGCCCTGTTTGTACATAGTTGTTTGCATATCGCCTCATTAGACTGTGAGCTCTTTGAGAGCATGGGCTTTTTTTTGCCTTTGTTTTGTCCCTGGTGCTTAGGTAGTAAATGGCTCATAGTAGGCACTTAGTAAATGCTAGCTGATTGATGGATTGAGGTTTTAAAAAGCAGATGTTGTTTGAATATTTAGTGGGATGGGATGTGCTACACTATCACGCTTCTCTGGAATTGCATCTCCACATAAAGCTTTAAGGTTCGCCAAATACTTTCCTCACAAAGTGAGTGCAAGTGGCGCAAATATTATTATTCCTATGTTACAGATAGGGAAACTGAGGGCCAATAGTTAAGAAGAACCTGAGCTAAGATTCAAACTTAGTGTTCTATGATCCTATGGTTTCAAGTTAACTTTTGCCATGAAACCACACCATTGGTCTCGTATCATAACCAAGAACCCAGAAGCCAGCCACAAAGGCCTCTGAGCAGCTAAAATTGTTGTTACAAACCTATGCCCTAATGCATTAGTGCTCTTCAGATCTTTATGCGAAGCCTATTTGTTCTTATCTTAGAATAAAATAACTTAACAGCTTGGGTTGGTTTTGTTTCTTTGTGTGGTTTTTAACCCACAGCAGACTAGAGTCTGGGGCAGCTAGGTGACACAATGGATTGAGCACTGGGCCTGAAGTAAGGAAGACTTGAGTTCAAATATGGCCTTAGGCACTTACTAGCTATATGACCTTGGGCAAATCACTTAATCCTGTTTGCCTAAATTTCCTCATCTGTAAAATGAACTGGAGAAGGAAATGGCAAACCTCTCCAATATCTTTGCCAAGAAAACCCCAAATGGGGTCCGTACGAAGAGCCAGACATGCCTGAAATGACTGAACAGACTAGAGACAGTGGGAGAGAAAAGGGCTTCGAGTGAGATAACGAGTAAAAAAAAACACAGAAACAATGCTCTGAAGACAGAAGACTTGGATTCCAATCCCTGCTCTGTCACTTACAATGTAAGTGATCTTGGGAATACCATTTAAAGCTCTATGGACCTTGGTTTTCTTCCTCTGTAAAATGGTGGAGAGCACCTTAACCTATGATGCTGTGATGGTGGGTGGGGGGCAGTAGGAATGGCTGTTACAGGCCAGCAGGCTGACAGGAGCAAGGAAACAACAGCCTCATATCTGGTGAGGAAAGAGTAAAATGATAAGAGGCAGACACAGACATATAGGATGAAACCATTTGGTTTGGGGGCAAAATAGACCTCTTGTCTCAGCTGCCTATGAGGATGTCCCTGTACTGTTATACAAAACAATAATTGATGTTCATAATGAATCCCTTAAAGTCATCAAGAAAAGCTGTATGGCAGCTAGACAGATAGAGCAGTGGACATGAGTTTAAATCCAGCCTCTGACACTTAACAGTTATGTGGCCCTGGGTCTATGTCAAACTCTTCCTGACTTAGTTTCCTCATCTGTAAAAATAAATAGCACCTACCTCTCTGGGTGGTTGTGAGAACAGAATGAAATAATATTTGTAAAGGGCTTTGTAAACCTTATGAAACACCACCTAAATATTATTATTAATAATTATTATTAATAATAATAATTCTTACATATACTCCATTTAAAAGATGCAGCATGGATAAAGTGCTGGGTTCAGAAAGAGCTGAGATTGAATCCTGCCTCTGGCATGTACTGGCTGTATGACCCAGGGCATGTCATTGAAGTCAGTCTTTTTGTGCCTTAAGGGACTTATCTATTAAGTTACAGATAGCTTGTGATGGATGGAGATCCCCATACCAATAGAATCACAGATCCTTTGCTTAATTCTGTTTAAGAAGGCCAAGAAATGCGGAATATGTGTGCTATGCTAAGCACTTTATAAATATTATCTCATCTGATCCTCACAATAACTCTGTGAGGTAGGTGCTATTAATTATTACCATTTTACCATTGGGGAAACTGAGGCAGACAAGTTAACCAACTAGCCCAGGGTCACCCAGCTAGTAAGAACAGGTCTTCATTGTCTCTTACTTGGACTATTGCAATAGCTTTTAAACTGCCCTCCCTGTCTCAAGTCTCTCTCCACTCCAATCTATTTACCACTCAGCTACCAAAGTGATTTTCAGGTGGCAGCTACATGGTGGGGTGGATAGAGTCAGTAAGACTTAGACTGAATCCTGCCTCAGATATTTACCAGCTACATGACCTTGCAAGTCATTTAATCTCCATTTGCCTCAGTTTTCTCATATTTAAAATGGGGATAGTAACAGCATCTACTTCTCAAGGTTGTAATGGGAATAAAATGAGAAAATATTTGAAAAGCACTTGTAAACCATAAAGTATTATGTAAATGCACCCTTATATTATCTATTTATAATAATTATTATAATATAATAATGTATTATGTATTAAAAGCATTCTTATTTATTATCATTACTTTTCTATAGCATAACCACGACCATGCTCCCCCTCATTCCCCCTCCATCAGGAACTTCCCCTCATCCCACTTGATAAACTCTAGCAGCTCTCTATTACTTCCATGATTTGATATAAAATCCTGTGTTTGGCATTTAAAATACTTCACAACTCTTCCCATCTTTATGTACTTTACCCCACCTTCAGGCACTCTCTAATCAAAACACACTGTCCTATTTGCTCTTACTTATACAAATGTTCTATCTCCGGACTCTCTGCTTTTGTAGTCACGATCCCCCATGCCAGGCACGTTTCCTCCCTTACCTCCACCTCCACCTTCCAGCTTCCCTGGTTTCCTTCAATACTCAGATCAAATTCTACTTTCTTTGGGGAGGTGGGGGTGGGGAAGGGGGTTTTCCTGGCTTCCCTTACTGTCAGTGCCTTCCTTCTAACATTACTTTTTTTTTTTTAGGCAAACATGGATAAGTGACTTGCCCAGGGTCACACAGCTAATAAGTGTCTGAGGCTGAATTTGAACTCAGATCCACCAGACTCCAGGGCTGGTGCTCTATCCACTGTGCTACCTAGCTGCCCCCTGAGATTGCTCTCCATTTATACCGTATGTACACTTATATGTACACAGTTATTTGCATATGTCTCCCCTATTAGTATGTAGATTAGTCAGTAAGCATTTATTAAGCCCCTACTATGTGCCAGGCACTGGGCAAAGCACCAGAGATATATGTTCTTGGAGAATAGGCTCCATGTGTTTGTCTTTTTTTGGGTCCCCAGTCCCCAGTGCTTAGTACATTGCTTGGCACATAGTAAGCATTTAATAAATGCTTGTTGACTGAGAATTAAACCTGTATGTTTTAACCCTAAGACTCCCATTAAATCACACCTAGAGACCAGTTCACGTAATTATATCTCCTCTGGTCTAGCTCCTAATGAGACACATGGAAACCAGAATGGTTCTACTGGGTCTAGACCTCATCTGTATCTCCATAAATTAATCTCAAGTCTACTGAAAGCCCTGAAATCATTTAGTTATTGGTATAGAATGGGTGATCCTCATATCCAAGCATGTGTCTAGCTTAATTTACCACTCCATAAAATATCCCAAATATCCTGTTCCATGTCACCTAAATGAAAAATGGTAAGCATCTTAGATACGACATAATATGATGGAAAGAGCCCTGGGGACCAAGGTTAAAGTCTTGGATCTGCCCATTAAGTCACTGAGTAACCTTGGCACCAAACTACTTCCCCTTAGTTGCCCCATCTATAAAACGACAGGACTGGATAATAAGACTTTTTATGATTCCATGCCTCCTGGCTTATAACTACCACAACCACCAATTATAACTATTCCTTCCCATCTCCTTTCCCACCTTTTTCTAGGTAAGATACAAAAACTACCTGAAGAGAGGCTGGCAAAGGTTTCTGATTTTTCCTTGCAATGTACTTAATAATTTTCATGGCCTTTGCATTTTTATTTTGAGAGATCAACCACCTGGGAGATTCTGGAACGCACCTACAACAGAGTATAAGAGAAAAGAATTGTTAGGTAGAAAACAAAATAATTAATATCAGTTATTATAACTTCAACCATTATTCCTCCTGACAGAGGAAGTGACATCTGAACTGAGCTTTGAAGGAAGAAGAGGATTCTGAGAAAAGTGGAGATGAAGAGGGAATGCATAAAGAATGGCTTAAGAGATGCACAAAAGCAGGGGATGGAATGTCAAACTGGTGATCAACTAGGTGTCTGTCTACTGAAATGTAAAGTTTAAGAAATGGGAAAGCATATGGATGTGTGTGTGTGTGTGTGTGTGTGTGTGTGTGTGTGTGTGTGTGTGTAGGGGAAGTGGATATGATGCAAGAATCATCTGGAAAGTTAGGTTGAAGATAGCTTATAGAGGATCTTAAAACGGAGAGTCTGAGGCATTTATATTTTAACCTAGAGGCAATAGGGAGCCATTGAACATTTGTGAAGAGGGGAGTAACATGGAAAGACCTGCACCTAAAGAAGAATTTTTTTTTGGTCAGGTGATAGAGAATGGGTCACAGAGGGGAGAGACTGCAAGCAGAGAGGTAGATTAGGGGAATATTACAATAGTCTGAGTGAAAATTGATGAAGTCCTAAATTAGGATCCTAGGCATGTAAGTGGAGAGAAGGGAAGAGAGATGCAAGAAAATACCATAGAGGTGTGACAGACCTTGGAAACTGACCAGATAAAGAAAACAACCTTAACCCTATTCAAATGACTGGGGTTCCAAACCTGGCTCAGTAAGAGGATAGTGATGCCCACAGCAGGAATGAGGATGTTTTTCCTTCTTTTTTTTATCCCTTTAAAAAAATTCTGTATTAAAAAACACCAAATAAAAACAAGTATGAACAGTGTAGGAGGAAACATGAAGCTGTAAATCTCCCTTATACAGAGGTCGTTTTTTTTTTCAGTATGGAATAAATTCAACATGTAACGTTCAAAGTTGTCCTGGTTGGTTGTGATTCCTTTGGGCATTGCTTCTGTTCTCTGCTCATCTGGGGTGATCCTACTCCTTGTCTCTCATCCCCCGTTAAAAAAAAAGAGAGAAAGAAAGAAAAACAAAACTCGTGTAACAAATATGTATAGTCAAACAAAACACATTTCCCTCATTGGCTATATCCAAAAACCTAAATCTTATTTTGCACCTTGAGTCCATCACCTCTCTGTCAGGAGGTAGATAACATGCTGCAACCCCAGGACTCTGAAATCATGGGTGGTCACTACATTGATCAGAGTTCTTAAGTCTTTATCTAATATGCCAAGACAGCCTCTTCAAAAAGTAAGAAGAACTAATTAACAAACTTTCAATTTGGACTCTTTTGGTCTGTGTGACCTTGGCCACCCTATTTAAACTCCCTGGGCCTCAGTTTCTTTTATTGTAAAGGAGAAACTCCTTCCTCTTCATTGCCATGTCCAGACTCTACCTCTCTTCCTTTGCAAATTTATCACTGAATCCATATCCTAGTGGCTGTCTGTTTTCTACTGATACCCAAGACATTCTCCCTCCATTCTCTCTCTCTCTCTCTCTCTCTCTCTCTTTTAGGCAATTGGGGTTAAGTGACTTGCCCAGGATCACACAGCTAGTGTCAAGTGTTTGGTCTGAGGCTGGATTTGAACTCAGGTCCTGCAGACTTCAGGGCCAGTGCTCTATCTACTCTGCCTAGCTGCCCCCTCCCTCAATGATTCAGAGTCTCATGGAAATGGGAGAGATACCATAATTGGAGAAGGGCAAATGTTTGGATTTTCAAAAAAGTGAAGAGAACAGATTGTGCAAATTACAGGCAGTGAACTTGACTTCAGCTCCTGAGGAAATTCTTGAAAGGATAATTAAAGAGATGGTTGGTGAACTATCTAGAGAGGGAAGTGGTAATTACAAACAGAGCATGACTTTGTCAAGGACAGGTCTAACTGCATTTCTTTTTTTGACAGGATTATTAAGCTAGTAGATTGTGGGGAATGCTGTGGCTATACTTTGCCTAGATTTGGAAAGTTTTGAGAAAGTATCTTATCCTATTATCCTATGAATTATAAAGTAATGCAATCACAGACTTATTTTCTGTAAGAAACTCTGCTTTCTAAGGACTTCAGGAACATCAAGCCTCCCCCAGGCTAAGCTGATCAGCTGAAATTTCCACACCATGCAGATTGACTCCATTTTTGATACTCAACCCCTTCTCGGATCCTTCAGTAGCCTCTCCCCTTGATTGGAGGGCTGGAGGGTGTAACAATAACATACTCCCAAACCCTGCCTTTATAGAGGGCTCAAAACTTTTCAGTGGTTCTGCTTGATTTGGACTCCACAAATATCATGCCCCCCTGTTAGATACCTCCTGGTAGCCTCCTATTCCCTTTTCAGCATCCTTTTGTATATTGACTTCCCTCATTAGATCCTAAACTCCTTGAAGGCAAGGACTATCTTTCTTTTTCTTATTTGCATCCCCAGCATTTTTGCACAGTGCCTGGTGGCTGGCATGCACATGGTAGGTGCCTAATAAATGTTTTATTGAATTGAATTTTTGAAGATGGATTCACAACTGGTTGGATGATTGGACCCAAAGAGTGACTGTTCATGGTTCAGTGTCAATGTGATGAGAGTTCTCCAGTGGAATACCCCAGAGATCTGTACTTGGCCCCATGCCAATTTTCTATCAATGACTTGGATAAAGGCACACATAGTATGCTCACCAAATTTGCAGATGACACAAAGCTGGGAGGGACACACTAGATAACAGAGACTGGATCCTAAAGGATCTTGATAAGCATTGGGCTTACTCAAATTAGAACTTCAATGGTGCAAATTTAAAGTTTTGCTCTTGGATACAAAAAAATCCACTCCACAAATATAAGCCAGAAGAGACATGGTTATACAGCAGTTATTTTGCAAAGAATCTGGGGATTTCAGTGAACTGAAAATTCAGTAGGAGGGAGTAATGTGATATGGCCGCCAGAAAAACTAATGAGATCTTGAGCTGCATTAAGAGGGACATAGCTTCCAGAAACAGAGGTGATAATTTCCCTGTACTCTGCTTTGCCAGGTTATAATTGGATCGTTGTGCTCAGTTTGAGGCAGAATGGTTTAACGACTCTGATAAGCAGAGGGTGTACTGAGAAGGCAACCAGGATGGTAGAGTGTTGAGTCCATGTCGTATGAGAATTCATCACAATCTTCTATCACTCTATCTCTCTCTATGCCCTACCATCTCTAAACCTATTCTTTGTCCTTACCATAACCTCCAGTCCCTTGGCATGTCAATCCTTTGCCGGATCATCGTCCCTACCTTACTAGTATATTTGGAAGGACCAAGCTCTACTTTGGCCTTTCACGTTGCCATCTTAATAAGAAGTTCCTAATCTCACATTTTCTTCCAATTCCTTATACAATGTCTGGAAACACATCCAACTTTGTTGTTGTTCAGTTGTTTCAGTCCTGTCTGACTCTGTGACCCCATTTGGGGTTTCCTTGGCAGGGTACAGGAATGGTTTGCCATTTTCTTCTCTAGCTCATTTTGTAGTTGGAGGAAACTGAGGAAACAGGGTTAAGTGACTTGCCCAGGGTCACATAGCTAGTAAAATTTCTGAGGCCAGATTTGAACTCAGGAAGATGAGTCTTCCTGACTCCAGACCCAGCATTCTATCCACTGTGCCACTTAGCTGCCCCTCACCCAACTCTCCTCTACCCTTAAAAAAACCTCTTACTGTATCTTACCAAACCTGCTAGCTGACAATATGTTTGTCTCCTTTGCTTTTAAGCTAAACTCTTTGAAAAAAGCTTGGTGCTTCCATTCTTCTCTTTTCAATCTTTTCTAAGCCTTGTGTAATCTGGTTTCTAATTATATCACTCAACTGAAACCGATCTTGCCAAAGTTATCAGTGACCTAATTCCCAAATCTAACAGTCTTTTCCCCCTGTTTTCATCCTTCTTCACTTCTTGGCAGCATTTGAAACTGCTGACTACCCTCTTCTCCCCAGTGCTCTTTGGGATTTTGTAATACTGTTCTCTCTCCCTAATTCTCCTGCTACCTGTCTGACTACTCTTTCTCGGTCTCCTTTTCTGGATTTACATCTCTGTTATACCCATTAACTGTGGATGTACCCAAAGGTTCAGTTCTTTCTTTCTCTTTCTTTCTTCTTCTCTCTCTTTCTCTCTCCTCTTTTCTTTCTCTTTTCTCTTCTTTCTCTCTCTCCTTTCTCTCTTTCTTTCTCCTCTTTGATCTCTCTCATTTCTTATTTCTCTTTTCTATCTCTCACACACATACTCTCACATCATCATCACTATCAGTTTCTATGAACTTGATTATTATCTTTATGCAGATTCCTACAAGATCTCTATATCCAACCCAGTCTCTCTCTTGAGTTCCATTTCCACATCATGACCTACCTATTACACTTTTCAAATTGGATAGCCTTTAGATATCTCAGCCAGGTGGCTCAGTGAATAGAGTGCTGGGCCTGGATTCAGGAAGACCTGAGTTCAAATCTGGCCTCAGACACTTACTAGCTGTAAGTCACTTGCCCCTGTTTGCCTCAGTTTCCTCACCTGTAAAATGACCTGAAGAAGGAAATGACCAACCACTCCAGGATCTCTGCCAAGAAAACCCCAAATGGAGTCACGAAGAGTCAGATATGACTGAGAAACAACAACGAGAACCATCTTGAACTCAGAGAGTCAAAGATTTAGAGCCAGAAGGGACCTTTGAAGGACTATAATCCAACTTCCTCATTTTTACAGTTAAGGAAGTTGAGGCCCATATAGCTATGTTCTCTGACTCAAAATTTTGTGTTCTTTCCACCTTAGTACCTCAAATACACATACGTATTTGAGTGTTTTTTATTTATTTGTTAGTTTTAAAGATGAAAACCCAAGGGAGTTGGATTAGGAGTAGTTGGAAGTAGGAAAAAGGTGTACGAAGAGAGGCTAAACAAAAGGAAAAGACTAGTATGAAGTCTTACAGAACCTTGTAATCCTGAAGTGTGAACACTTTCCACAGAAGCAAAAGAACCTCTCACCTTACTAATACAATGTTCTGTGGGATCCAGGAGTACATCACATTCTTGAGTGGTATACCATCCTTAGCTCATGGGAAGATGAGGTTACTTGCTCACCATCAAAAGTGCAAGCACTCAAGTGACTGTCTTAAATCTATTTACCACTTGATTCATTGGAACAATCTGATCTGCATAAATTTGTGAAGCAATTTCAATTAAGTGTATGTCAATATGAAAATAGAAGGCAAAAATGGCATGATGGTATCTCTGAAGCTTACCATTATGTGGGCAGCTCCATGCTGTAGTAGATAGAGCACTGGGGCCTAGAGTCTGAAGGACCTGAGTTTAAATTCAGCCTCAGACATTTAGTAGCTGTGTGATACTGGACAAGTCACTTAATCCAATTTGCCTCAGTTTCCTCATCTGTAAGATGAGCTGGAGAAGGAAATGGCAAACACTCCAGTATAATTGCCAAGAAAACTTCAAATAGGGTCATGAAGAGTCAGACACAACTGAACCACAACTACTACTGTATGACCTTGGTCGATTCATTTAAAAGTTCCTGGGCTTGAGTTTCCTTATCTGAAAGTAAAATGACAGTAGATGGAATAGATGATCTCTGAAGGTCCCTTTCAGGTCTAGATCTCTGATTTTAACTTCTGTGTGTGTTTGGGGGTGAATCTGAGGAGATATTTAAGTCTGGGGTGAAGGTAGATTCACTAATTCACCAGGGTATATGAAAGAGAGACACACCCAAAGGATAGGGATGCCTGTCAGGGTGGTAAGGCGGCAGAACTGAAGAAAGGTAAGTATTGGAGGAGATGTTTCAGTGAGAAGAATGAGGCTACTTGAAGTGAGAATGTGCTGTAGTGGAAACAGCGCTGAACTGTGGTCCAGCAATGCCGAATGGAAAACTGCCCAGGTGGCCGAGTGTGGGGAAAATTCTAGTGTTAACGCCAAAATTCCAGTCAGATGTTCAGTGCCCTCTGTGAAATGTGGGTGGAGAAAATTTAGGGAAACAGCCTTATTTCACTGATATTTGAAGTTGTTACTCCCTGGTCCTCTGATTTCATCAGGAAGCTTGCAGGTGAGCAAGCACGAGTGTGCACACACACACACACACACACACTCCCTTTATCGATGCAGATCCATAAATATTGGCAATTTGTGGTCTTAGGCAATTGCCTCAGGGGAGTAGGAGCTTAAGTGACTTACTTAGAGACCAAGTATGTGTCAGTGGTGACATTTGAACTCATGCTTTCATGACTCCAGAGGCCAGCTAAATTTTTCTTTAATTAAGAAAAATGCTTGAATTTTTCTACTTTTTTTTATATGATCAGGAGCCTTCTTTTATATACAACTGGGGTCCCACAGTTGTGGAAAAATCAAATTTAGGTTAGGCAATTATGTGCAGGGGAGCTGCTATGAAAATCAAGACCAGTGTTGGGACCAAGATACCTGAGCTAGGCTGATGATCTTACCATCTCCTTTCCTTATTTACTCTGGACAACCAATAGTATCTGATGCCCCTGGAGTCTCTCTAAGAACTTCTCAAGAGATAACCCTTGAGCATGCCTCTTTGTATATGTGTCACGGACACCTTTAGCAATCTGGTGAAGCCTATGGATTCCTTCTCAAAATACTTTCTTTAAAATTCATGAATAAAGGAAGTGAAAATGTATTTTTTTCTCATCCAAGTTCATGAACATCCTGAAATCTATCCATGGATCCCTTGGGGGTAGGGGTCTGTGTACCCCAGATTAAGAATCCCTATTCTAGATGCTGGAGGGAAAAGCAGAGGAATTGGAGATAGTTGAGTGGTTAGAGGAGGGAGGGAAGTCTTTCTGGAGTGTTCACAACCATGATTGTACTGCTGTCGCTAGGAGCAATTTTCAGTCCTCTCCCCCCACAACGTAGCCGCTACGGCTATTCAGCTTAAGACACCTAACATTTGAATCACTGTGTAAAAGAACATAGAGTCCCAAGGGAAATGATTAGCCAACAGCATGCTTTTTGTCTTCTAGCATGGAATGGGGCTTCCTGCAGCTCAGGATTAGAATATAGTCTTAGCACATTCCTAGCACAGAGCTCCTGAGCTGGAAATGATATGATATGGACCAGATATGATATGAGAAAAATATGAAAATGACCTCCTTTGCATTCCCAGAGGGTCTTACCAATAGTAGAGCAAGAAGCAGAAGTAGGGCAGGGAAACTGTGAGCTGCAGCCATCTCCAAGAAGGTAGAGCATAAGCAATCCCTGCCAGAATCAGGAGGCCCACGGTGAAAGCCATTTGGTAACAAATTCCCACAGTCCTCCGGTACTTCAGGCCGACAAATTCAGTCACTAGAAAACAAAAGCAAATGGCCAGTTTCCAGGGTGATCTGAGACAAAGGCTCACTGACGCATTTTAATAATGAAAGAAATAGAACTCCCCAAACACCCCCTAAATTTTTCCCTTTCTAAGAGCTTTATGAGATCACTTGAGACTCTTGAATCTTTGACGTTCTTTGGCATTTAGGTTCTTCCTAAAATGACAGGAATGATGGAGCTGGGTCTTTAGAACTCTGGCTGATGGGAATGGAAAACCCACTGCAGAACTAGTCCATCCCCATAGAGCCAGAACACCCCTGTCCAGTTTCATCATCCTTGTTCCACTAACTACTGTGACATTTCACTAATTCCCGTGAACTGGTTCCAAGAACACAAGTCAGAATTAGTGAAAAGTTTGAAATATAGAAAATAAATTTTGTAAAGAAATTTAATTTTCTTACTTTTAAATACATGCAATATCTTACAGTAGGCTAAAAAACAAGGTTGTGCCTAAATACATAAGGAAGTTTAGAATGAGCATTAAAACACAGTGTTGTCTAGTGGATAGAGCTGGCGTTTGAGTCCAAAACATTTGGGTTCACTCTGCCTAACACTTAACTGACTGTGGAACCCTGTGGAAACCATTTAGGGTCCAGTGGCCCTAGACCTGTGGTGTCAAACCCAAATAGAAATTAGGGGCCACTCAGCTGCCACTATTGACTTAGAAAACCACATATTAACATTAACTATGTCCTATTGTATTTTTACTTATTCTGTTAACTATTTCCCAATTACATTGGGCTCCCAAGGCTCTGTCGGCACTTATATTTGACACCTCTGCCCTAGGAAACTCCCTCATAAATTGTAAAGCAAATGCTCTTCTGTTTTGGAAGAGGAAGATTTCTCACTGGGAATTCCTTATACCTGAATAAAATCCACAGGTCTGGTTAAAAAAAAAAAAATTAGCATATACATAGTTTGTATCTAAGTACTCAAAAGCAGTTCTTTTAAATTAGTGGAGCATTTCTTTTACCATGATTATATTTGGCACATCTCCCTCACCTCCTTCCTTTTTTTTTTCCTTTGAAAGTACCACAGAGGTAAATCTATGTCTAAGGGAATACAAAATTTAAATCCATGGGGTTCAGATTTATGTTTCTGTAGGGATAGAGCTGAGACCTGTGATTTCATTGGTCTATAGAAAACTTCCTAGATGAGGAAATTCCTACCAGATGATAGCAGAATTTCTCTACAGCTTTTAGGTTTACCCAGGGGTGGGGAATCTGCTGCATCGAGGCCACATGTGGCTCTCTAGGCCCTCAAGGGAGGCCCAAATTAGATTCAGTGAAAAGGTCACACCCCTGGCTAAGACAGCCATTTAGCATTGACTGAGTGATTTGACCAAAGTAACATAGCCAGAATGTGATAGAAGTAGGGTTTGAACCCAGTGCTTCTTGGATTGGAGGCTGGCTATTTATCCACTACCCCACACTACACATGGAATTAGGCATAGTGGCCTTAAAACTAAAAACAAACTGAAATAACTATTCCAGATAGATATTCAATAAGCTACAGAAACTTTTTTTAAAACCTAATTTTAATTTGGAAATTTGTCGCTCTAACACATTTCAAGATGCAACCATCTGCAAACCGAATTAAATTCCACTATTAAAGTTTTGGTAAATTACTTCTAATTATCTCCCAAATGAAGTTTTCATTTTTTTTTGACTAATATACCATCTCCATAAGTCCCTACTGTGTTAAGGAATCTTAATCAGTCAGTCAAGAAACATTTATTAAGCATATACTATGTGCCAGGCACTGTGCTAAATTCTGGGGATATAAAAAGAGGCAAAAGACAGTCCCTGCCCTTAAAGAGCTCACAGTCTAATGGGGGAGACAAAGGGCAAGCAAATACATACAAAGCAAGGTATATACAGGGTAAGTAGGAGATAGTTGAGAGGAAAGGCACTAGAATTAAAAGAGGTTAGGAACGTCTTCTATAGCAAGACGGGATTTTAACTGGGACTTACAGGAAGCCAGGGAGGGCAATAGAGAGAGTTGATGAGGGAGTAGGTTACTGGATCAAGAGGGGTCACATTTTGTTCATGGAACAGCCAGGAGGCCGGTGTCACTAAATTGAAGAGGAGGAGAGGGAAGTAAGTTGCAGAAAGACTGGAAAGTAGGAGGGGGTTAGGATATGAAGAGCTTTGAATGCCAAATGGAGCATTTTATATTTGATCCTGGAGGCAAATAAGGAACCACTGGAGTTTATTGAGGGTGACATAGTTGGACTTGCACTTTAGGAAAGTAATTTTGGTGGCTGAATGGAGGATGGATTGAAATGGGCACAGACTTGTGGTAGGCAGACTCAGCAGCAGGCCATCGCAATAATCCAGGCTTGAGCCAAGTGAAGTAGAATAGAGGGAGAAGAGGACTCAGGACAGAATCCTGAGGGATACCTATGGTTAAAGCCTTTCATCTGGAGAAGGATCCAGCAAAGAATACTAGGAAGGAGTAATCAGATAAGTAGGAGGAGAACCAGGAGAGAGGGTGCCCCTAAAACCTAGAGAGAAGATAGGATCAAGGAGAAGAAGGCCATTAAGTGTCAAAGGCTGCAGAGAGATGGAGAAGGATGAGGACTGAGAAAAGGCAATTGGATTTGGCAAGAAATCATTGGTTACTTTGGAGAGAGAGGTTTTAGTGGAATGATAAAATCAGAATTCAGAGTATAGTGAGTTAAGAAGAGAGTCGGAGGAGAGAAAGTGGATGCATCTATCCTAGACAGCCTTTTCAAGGAGTTTAGCCACAAAGGGCAAAAGAGATAAAGAGTAGAGATAAGAGATAAAGATTGCAAGGGTAGAAGGATCAAGCCAGGGTTTTTTCAGGACAGGTGAGACATGGGCATATTTATTTATGTGCAATGGAGAACAAGCCATTAGATAGACAGAATTTAAAAATAAATGATGGCATGAGAATGATGATGGTGGCAACTCTCCTTTGAGGGAGAGTTTTCTGTCTCCCAACATTCACAGAATGGGTGTTTCCAAAAAGTGATGGATTGAAGGCAGAGGAGGGGTTATTCTTTTGAAACTTTACTTGGGAACTTAAAATTTAAATTTATACTACTGGCTCCTCAATATTAAGGATGAAATACAAAACCAAATGCCTTCCCTTCACCTTGCAAGGTCTCCTCAGCACAATTTTCATCATCAATATGACCAGGTATGTGTGTGTATGTATGCACATACACACAATATACATATACACACATACGTATATATACACATATACTATACACATACATATATACTATACACATATACACATACACATATACACATATACATATGCACACATACAATATATACTATGTGTGTATATGTATATGTATATATATGTGTGTGTGTGTGTATATATATATATATATACACACACACACACACACACACACACACACACACACACCGGGCTATTGTAGGAGGATTAACCAACTTCATTTTTCCAGGTTGTAGTAATTTATAAGATTATGTAATATCCAAAAGTTTGTACCATGCAGAAACTACTTTAATGCAGCTAAGGGGCATGAAATGTTGAGGGGAATTCACAAGAATTAATGCTAAAATAAATTTACTTAATTTCTAATTTAATATTGGCAGTAAATTCTCATAAACTGGCTGGCTTTCTCTCTGAGAACACATAATTCTTAGGTTGGGACAGTGGGATTTTTTTTTTTTAATTTTCCTGGAAGAATCAAAACGTTGCTGCTTTTGGGATTCAACTATTTAAGCTTTTCTTGCTCTGACTGGAGAGTGAACATGACCCAAGTTTTTAGGGCACGGTATAATAGTGAATGATAGAAGGACCTGGCATAATATGGTCTGTGAGGTCACAAGGAGTCAGACACAACTAAATGACTGAACAACAAACAAAATATTATTTCTACTCCTGGCACTATAAGTAGCTGGTTATGTAATCTTGAATTCTGTTGTTCTCAGTTTCTCTGTCTGTAATTTGAGGGATAATTGAGTTTATCAGAAAATATTTTATGTGGAGAAATAAATATAGGGATAGGGACTGCATCTGTGATTTCATTGGTATAAGGAGTACCCAGTGAGAAACTCCATCTACCTATGTAGGTTGGCACCTTCTCAACAACTTACAGTCTTGAGAGAGTTGCCTGGGACACTTAGAGAAGTTAAATGACTTGTTCAGGTGGTCGCAAAGTCAATATTTGTCAGAGATGGGAGTTGAACCTGCCTCCCAGTGTCCAAGGCAAACTCTCTCTCCACTTGACTCATTGCCAAATAAATACAGAGATTTACAAATATAGCCTTCTAGTTCAGAGTTGAATAACAGCCAGGGGTTCCTGTTTTCCTACTATTTTCTCTTCGAATGGGCACAGTAGGCTAAATTCTTCACAAATGTAACACTCTGGGAAACCAAGTACAAAAATTCCAAAGGGCTTCAATAATAAAACGGATGTTTATCAAGACAAGCTTAAGGAGTGATGATCTTTTCTCTCATTTACCTCCTCAATGTGTATGGAATTTTTCTTTATAGAAAGAATACAGAAATTGGTCGAGAGAGCTTGGAAGAAATAATTTTTCTTCCAGGTGGGAAAAAAGCAATTATTTAGAAATTAGAAAGATTTTTGTTTCTTTGTGATCAGTCAAGATATAACCATTCTTCATTTTAGGTTCTTCCAACACTCCCTCCCACCCTTCCAGTTTTATTTTTGAAGGTCATGTTTTTCCTACTCCCACAGCTGTAATCACATGCATTCTTACACAGGATGTAGCCTATCAACCACCCAGACTTGCTGACCAGTCCTTGGATAAATCGGAAGATTAACATCCAGGTGTAGCTTGGAGAAAGGGCCATGAGTACTCCCGAAACACCAGTTATGAGAATTGTAATTAAAAGGCTCAGCTTACGACCAAACCTGGCAAGAAACAGACACATTGAGAAGGCAGAATTAGGCTATGAAAAATATTGAAGAAGCTTAAGAAATGATGCTGGTTAATTATTATTTAAAGAAGCAGGGGACTTCCTGAATGAATATCATCTATTCAAGAGTTTTTCCACGAATACTGAGAAAAACGTTAATTTAGAAAGGCCAAAGTCACCCACTGTATCTTGGACCATTGCCAGCCATCTCGACCTTTGTCTTGCCACTGGATTTTGATGACTTTGGAGGAGTGAGGCTGATGACTTTGTACAGTGCTGCCTCACTTAAATCCAATTCACTTACAAGTCAAGACATCATCCTCCTGATGTTATTGGTCCTCTTCAAAAACAAAAGGTGAACAATAACACCAGCCACAACCCGTATTACTAACCTAATGACCCAAATTCTCCCCGAAAATTGAGCAATGCTACATAAAGTCTTTTTTTCCCTTTTAGAAGTGATTTTCGTTTTTAAAATACATTTTTGACATCTTTTGTTTTTTCAATCACCTACATTTATCACTCTCCCTTATTTCCCCCTTGCCTTACTCCCAATCTCTCCCAATCAGAAGTGGGCTGGTAAATATTTAACAACAGGTTGGGGGGGGGGGAGGTACGATTGTATGTAGGCCACATTTTAAAAGTTTAAACTACAGTATTAACATTTTTTCCATCACTGTCTTAAGTCTAGACCATCAACAAAATAATAAACCAAGTCCGGAATTGTAGTTTTACCAATTTCCAAGTTGTAAATTCGTACACTTAAAATTTAACAATCACTCTGGTTTGAGCAGGTTCCAGCACACTTCTGCTTATGACAAAGAGTAAAAAAGAGGGGGAAAAATTCAGCAAAACTAACCAACATCAAAAATATCTGCTGTTATCTGTATTGTTTCACACTCGTAGGCCCCCAGCTCTGCAAAAAGACGTGTATTTTCGGATTTCTTCTTTAGGGGCAAAGCTTGATCATTACAATTTCCCAGCATTTAGTTTTTATGGTTTTATTTTTTCTGCAGAAACATTCTTTACCACATACCAAGGAATATTTGAAAATAAAATGAAGTTTCCAGAAATCCAATTTACCCAAATAGCCTTTGCCAAGACACAGAAGGCCTGTTGTCTTTTTGGAAGTAAGGAAACCAATGTACAAGAGCCTGGTGATGTTTTTAGTATCACTTTTCTCCTTAACTTTTTCTATAGTTATTTTCTCTCTTTCTTAAGAAATGAATGTAGTAGAAGGAGAGAAAGGCAGATTTCAGCTTCACACAGAAAGAACTTGCTAACAATTAAAAGTATTCAAAAGCAAAATCCCATGGGAGAAAGTGAATTCCTCATTCCTGGAAGCCTTCAAAGCAAAGACTTGATGATTACTTTTCTGGGAAGATGCAGGGGAATTCTTGCTCAGATTTGGGGAATGACTAGTTGAAATCTGAGGTCCCTTCTAATGCAGATTCTGTGATTCTGTAGTTTCTCAGATATGATGAGGGTGGGACTTGATTCTTTCAGATTATCAAGTGAAATATTCTACTGGTGTATATTGGTCTGTCAGAGTTATGGCACTCAAGGTGAATTAGGGCAAGAATCGACTTAAGGGGAGGGAACCTGCCACCTGGAGGCCACATGTGGCCCTCTAGGTCCTCAAGTGCTGCCCTTTGACTAAATCCAAACTTCACAGAACAAACCCCCTTAATAAAAAGATTTGTTCTGTGCTGAGACCATTTTCTCTAAACCCACTAGTAAAGAAAAGACTAATAGCCAATATTTATTGAGCACTTTTCTGGTTTGCAGAGAACTGTCCATTCATTATCTCATTGGCACCCTGGAACAATCCTGTAAAGTAGGGCTGTTATATAGATGCTATTATGTCCATTTTACAGATAAGGAAATTGAGGTAAAGACAGAATAAGTGACTTGTTTGTGATGTCAGAGAGAGAATTTGAAACCATCTTCCTGACTCTAAGTCCAAAACTCTATTCTTTAGTATTCAGGGAAAATGGAGACCTAAATACATCAGTCATCCTTGATTCTCTCCCAATGCTATTTTTTAACATGGTGTGGTATGTTTGTCCCAGGGAGAAAATGGGTTATAAATTTTATTCTATATCCTACAATTTTATATCACACAGTCAATCCCCTTAGACTGGGAACTTTGCTTTTCAGAGAGTTATCTCTTCTCTAAGTGGCTTATAAGTAGGGTTCTTGAGGTCAAGGACTACTTTTACTTATCTTTGCATGTGTATATATACATGCATGTGTTTGTACATGTGTACATAGACACTTGCATGTTTGTATGTATGTATGTATATACATGTATATCTATCTATCTATCTGTCTATCTATCTATCTATCTATCTATCCATCTATATGTCTCTAAATACTGAGCACAGCGCCTGGACCAACATGGGAGCTCAAAAACCATGTGCTTATTGGAAGTAAGAGGACAGCCTACTGTGTAAATAAACCTAACACCTCTTCTGACTTTTAGAGAACCATTTATTCTTTATATTATTATCATGGTCATTATGTAGGTTGTTCTGATTCTGCTCCTTTCAATCTGCATCAGTTCATACAAATCTTTCCATGTTTCTCTGAATCAGATAAATCTTTTCAGATATCACCAATGTGTTGTTTTGTTTTGCTAGACTATGTGTATTTGTTACAAAAGAAGGCTTCTATTTGCAGGCAGGAGATGCTGAGTTAGAAGACAGTGATAAATATGCTAAAATAAGACCAAAAACACACCAATAAAATTTTTTTTAAAGGAACAGAAGACAAAAAGAAACTCAGAAAGGGATAGTTGAACCAAGGGAATAAACATTTATTAAGCACTTACTCTGTGCTAGGCCAGGCCTGTGGCCTTGAGGCTACTTATTGCTCTCTAGTTCCTGGGTAGTGGCCTTTTGACTGAGTCCAAGTTTTACAGAACAAATCCTCTTATTTAGGGGTTTTGTTCTATGAAGTTTGGATTCAGTCAAAGGGCCACACTTGAGGACTTAGAAGGCCACAAGAGGCCTCGAGGCCGCAGGTTCCCCACCCCTGTGCTAGGCACTGTGCTAAGCATTGGAGATCCAAAGAAGAGGAAAAAAACAGTTCTTGCTTTCAAGGAGCTCATAGTTTAATGGGGAAGGAGGGACAGTGATAATATACAAACACTTGTATACAAATAAGATATATACAGCACAAATTGGAAATTATCTCAGAAGGAAAGCACTAAGATTAAAAAGGATTGAAGAAGGGCTTCTGGCAGAAGGTAGAACTTTGGCTGATATTTAAAGGAAGTTAGGGAAGCCAGGAAGCAGAGATGAGAAGGAAGAGAGTTCCAGGCATGGGGAGACAGCCAGTGAAAGTGACTGGAACCTGAGGATGAAATGTTATGTGTGAGGAACAGCAAAGAAGGTGTCACTGGATTACAAGAAGGTGGAAGAAAATTGGAAAGGTAAGAAGAGGCTTGGGGCAGCTAAGTGGCACAATGGGTAGAGCACCAGCCCTGGAGTCAGGAGGACCTGAGTTCAAATCTGGTCTCAGACCAGACACTTGACTCTTAATAGATGTGTGACCCTGGGCAAGTCGTTTAACCCCAAATGCCTCATACGCACACAAAAAAAGAGGTCAGACAGAGGAATTTTGTTATGACCTTGAAAAATTTAATAAAGTATATTTCTTTTTAAAACTTCATTTAGTAGTTCACCCGTTTTCGTATAAAATCCCATTTTTCTTTGTATATTTAAAATATTTGTATTTGTTGCCGATTAAAAAACCCCAAAACTCCAAAGCTGATCAAGACTTTGAGACAGAGTGATCTGGTTTATCCTGCTGTCTCTAAGAAGAATTATATCTAAATTATTTCCATAAAATAAAGATTTGTATTTTATTCTTTAAGATCTGTAGGTTATAAATCTTCAGCCATTCTACTGTCTAGTAGTAGTCACAATTATTATATCTTTTTCCTCAATAATAGCTTGTACTTAAATAGTGCTCTTTACTTATATGAGCTCATTTGCTAGTTAGTTTATACCATTTGCCCCTGCCCCAACTCCTTGTGGGACAGTTAATACAGTAAAATTAATTTTAATTCTGTCCCAGTCCTGAGAACCAGGCCCTAAATAAGTACTCTCACTAAGAGAGATCTGAGGCTTCTAGGGCAAGTCATATTACAGGTCCCTAAATCCTGAATGTTCTTCCAGAAATGAAATCAAGGTAACATGAACAACAGTTATTGTTGTCATTTTTCAGTTGTGTCTGACTCTTTGTGATCCCATTTGGGGTTTTCTTGACAAATATATTGGAGTGGTTTGCTATTTCCTTCTCCAGCTCTTTTTACAGATGAGGAAACTGAGGCAAGCAGATGAGGAAGCTGAGGCAAGCAGGGTCACACAGCTAACATCTGAGGCTAGATTTGAACTCAGGAAGATATGAACAGCAAGGGACACTTTAAAAGGAAAAAAAAACAGAGCCACAAAACAGCTTCAAGGTGTATGTGCGTAAAGGGAGACTGGCTCTGCCTTCATAGTGGTGGAGAAAGGTGGGGACTCTTTCTATGATTATAAAAAAGGCAGTGTGATATAGTAGGTGGAGAGCTGGGCTCAGAGGCAGGAAGACCTAGTTTCCAGTCTGGCCTGTGACATGAACTGACTCCGTGCTTCCAGTCAAACCTCTAAGAATAAAGTTTGCAGAGCTGTCACTAACTATTTTGGTGAAAGGAGTTTCCTCACTGGGAGTTCCATACATGGATGAACTTACAGTTCTGGTCTTGAAAAAAAAAGCCCAAGTTTATGTTGTTTTGGTTTTGTTTTGGTTTGAGTTATCAGATGGCAAAGCTTTCTCCTTCTGTACTCTCCCTGAGTCACTGCCTGGCATTGGTGGGCATAAAGGCCTTCCAAGGCATGGAACGTAGGGATAGGAGCAGTTCCCCCATGTCATTGTGACCTTGAATGATTCTACTTGAGATGGAATTCTTCAACCTTCATAAACTCTCCATTCCTGTCTTGCTATAGTGCTGTGTTTGCTTGAGAAGTAACTAAATTATATAATAAGGGCCATATTGACATTAGGAATCTCAAGCCATTTCCATACAATAGATATGACATGATCTATTTTTCATAATATACTTCCCTTTACAGACACAGATTACAACTCCATAACAATCTTTTAGAGTTTCTGAAACCAAAAACTTCTCTTCTATGTGCCAGGTAATATCAGAACCCAGAGTCCTAGTTTAATCCCTGCTCAACCTAGGGTCAAAGATTTAGGGAATGGAATTACAGAGCTGAACAGGAAAACAAACTGGACTTAAGGGCATCTCCATAAAAAAAAAAAGGGCCTTGGGCTGGGCTAATTACTGCTGTTTATTAACTTCATATGTCTAGAAGTGTTCCTTCGCAAATGAGAAGACCACCCACTGTGCAAATGAAAATTACACAGAGGACTTTTAATTTAGTCATTTTTCATTATGGTAACTCTTTATAATGACCCCTTTTGATGTTTTCTTGACAAAGATACTGGAGTGGTTTGCTACTTCCTTCTCCAGCTCATTTTACAGATGAGGAAACTGAGGAAGACAGGTTTAAGTTGACTTGCCCAGGGTCACATAACTAGTAAGTGTCTGAGGCTAGATCTGAACCCAGGTCTTCCAGACTCCAAGCCAGTACTCTATCCATTGTGCCACCTAGCTGCCCCTTTTCATTTAAATGGGCAGTTTCTATTCCTACTATTGGGCAGTTTCTGTTCCTACCATTTGCTATTAGGCCTTTCATCACAATCAACAAGACTTATTAAGCTCCTACTATGTGCCAAATCCTAACATTCTTGCCTTTGAGAAGCTTGAGAAACACACCTGTTGATGATTTCATTCACAGGTGGGTCAGATCAGTTGAATACAACTGGATCTCACCCTGATAACACAGTCTGAGTCATTACTAACATAGATTAAGTTAAAGCAAGAAATCTATGACTCAGGAATACAACTTCTCACCTTTTTTTTTTTGTTGGTATTAGGTAGGTCCAGAAAATGGTTGTGATCTAGAGCAAATCACTTCACATTCCTGGGCCTCACTTTTCTTATCTGTAAAATGAGGGGATTGAATCACATATTGAACTGCATAACCTGAGATCTCATCCAGCTCTAGGAGGCTCTATAATCCCATTTCTTTTTTTTAGAGAAATCCTAATCTTTTAGAGAAATGGATGAAAGACTAGCAAACTTCTCTACAAAAGAGTTTACATGAAATTTTGTCATATAAAAATCAGATTCCTTCAGATTGGCCTTAACTGTATGACTTGGTTAAGTTAGAAAATGGCATAGATGTGGCAAAAAGAATATGAAAAACCAAAAAAGAACATGAAAAATCCTACTGTTTTAGATCAGCTTTCCCCAAAACAGGAAAAGGGGATGGAGTGGGGATAGAAATGACCTACAAGCATTTGTTAGGAAGTTTACAAGAAAAGAAAATAGAATTCCCAAAACTGTTAGGGGAAGGATTCAATTTAGTTGAATTCAACAAATGCTTATGAAGGGCCTGCTTTATATGTAACGCACTCTGCTGGAGATGGGGTGGGAGAGAATTTAAAGATAAAGTCTAATGGGTAGAACACTGGGCTCAAAGGTGGAAAAACCTGGATTCAAGTCCTACCTTGGACACAGACTAGCTGAGTGACCTTGGGCCAGTTACTTAATCTATCTAAGAGACTAGAAGTTACAGAAAAGGTGCTAACCGCATTGGTAATGGGAATTTCCTCATCAGGGACATCTCCTACACCGGTGAAATCACCGATCTAGTCTTTATTCCTATTCTAATAAGCCATTGTTTAAGGCAAGAGTTTTTAACTTTTTGTGGGTCATGGATCCCTTTGACAGTCTGGTGAGAACTAATACCACTGTGGTTTGTTGCTTATATTTATAATGGAAGGAAATGCTAAATTTCAGTTAGAGGTTGGTGAAAATAAAGATGCAGTATTTCCCCCCATACAAACTCTTGGAGCCTCTGATCCCATGTTGAGATCTGGTTTAAAATGATGAGTCAAACAGTGTAATAAGTAATAGATCACCAGAGGGAAAGAGGGAGGGAGGGAGAGAGAAAATGAATTCAAGCAAAAATGCATACTGAAGTTATGTATGTAAATAGATAATTTGCTTGGGCTTGTGGTTCAGGAACATACAAATTGTCCTATACTATTCATGGGTTATGAGAATTGTTAACTCATTTATATCTGATGGCCTCTAAGTAGTCTATTAACTAAGCTGAGGGGCAAACAGGAACATATCATGTTGATGATTTAACATTCACTTCCCTTTTGCTGATAGAGAAGTAGGGGGGAGGTAGTTGTGAGACTGGCCTTGTCTGTTAGCAAGCAAGAAATTAATTAATTGGTGAATAGGCCGTTGGAAGCCCAGACTCTCATTGTTGGATTCTGGATCTTGAAATGTTAATGGGTCCCTAATGATGCAGGAGGTAATGACCTTGTAATGACCTTCCAAATTTGTCTTCTATTATCCCTTAAGATTAAAAGTCATATATAATTCACTATCTTCTTTGAACACCCGAGTGAACAGAGCCAGAATGGGCACACAGGCAATACTATTATGACGTGATATGAATGCTCTTTGCTAAAATTACCTCCCGCTCTTCCTCACCATGTTGGTTCCTTTTTAGTCAGTCCTCTGTTAAATTGTAAGTATCTCTGAGGGAAGTAACACATTAAGCCCTGTCACCTGTGAATATTTCGGCAGGAATTGTGCTGTAAGATTACCTTTTACAATAGGGAATGGGAAACCAGGCAAATACTCTGATGCTTCTGGGAAGGACAGAGTCAGGTGAGGGCAGTACATGGGGTCAGAGGGCAACATGAGGACAGCACGAAATGTTTTAGAAATGCAAGCACACTCATGAACTAAGAATCTTGGTCAAAACAGGCACCCTTTGAAAATATGATCATATGAAAATTTTGTGGATATATGAAACAAAATTCTGTGTGCTATTCCACTTGGAATATGCAAAAGAAGAAGAAGAAAAAGAAGAAGAAGAAGAAGAAAAGAAAGAAAGAGAAAGAAAGATAGAAAGAAATGGCTGACCCAACCTCCTTGCTGCCAGTATACTTCCATCACCATTATCCTATAGTTCCAAGATGATACATAATTGAAGAGGGAAATAATGCTCTCTTCCGTTTATAGCCTGCTCTCTTAGATCCAAAAGGTCATTAGAGCCTGTGGGATCCTGCCTAATAGTACCATTCATTTTGCTTCTCTTCTGAGGGGGGACCTTTTCATACCTTCCAGACTGATGTTGAAATTATGATAATCAGATTCTTAGTTTTCCTAGAGGAGGCAGAGAATGTTTTCCTCTCACTCTTTAACCTAGATTCTATCACATATCCAATGTGAATCTGGCCCACAGGGCCACTTTGGATGCCCAGGGAGTCTATTAGAGGCTATGAGTGGGTCCAAGCTATCTGGGTGGAAAGTTGAGTAGAGAGAGGGGAAGAACCATGGAGGCTAGCGAGCTGGTGAAAAGGAATAAAGCCATGGCAGGAAGAGCTCCCTAATGCTTAAAACACAACTCTCTTTGCCCCCACTCTTCTAGGAGAGATATCTGTTATTATTCTCAAGACAATTAAGGGAAGATAACTTTGCTTATAATAACTTACATTGACCTAGCACCTAAAAACTTATAAAATATTTATCTCACAACAACCTGGTAGGAAAGGTAGTACAAATGTTATCAACTCCACTTTACAGTTGCAAAAGCTTAGCTCTGAGACTTTAATTGACCTCCCCAGTGTTGAACATCCTCAAAGAATCAGAAATGGGATTTGATCTAGGTCTTCTGACTCAATGATTAATGCTATTTCCACTATGCTTTGCTATAAAAGGAATGTGTTAAACTCAGGAAAATGTGAAGTGTTTTTACTTGGCCATGATTTTGTAGTTAGACTACTACGTACTCAGGGAAAACATGAAATCCAAGGAGTAGACATAAAGACAAAAATAAAAATGTTTGGTATAGTGAATGTTTTTTCTTTTCTTTTTTTTCGCTTGTCTTTATTTCCTCCTTCCTAACTCAATGGGGCCCTTGGAAATCCAAGAGAACCACAAAAAAGTCCAAAAGAATCTTTAATGAATAGAGAATCACCCTTATCCAACATGGGTTAAGTTCAAGTCCTAACTCTGATTCAGACACTGACTGTGTGACCCTGGGCAAGTCACTCAACCCCAGTGTTGCAGATCACTCACTTGCGTATTTTTAGACTTATAATGGAAGATGGTGAGTTTCAGAGGAGTTTTTTCCCAAAGAATTCCTTACACCAATGAAATCATAGATTCAGTTTCTCCAAAAGAACAGGACCATCAATTCTTCTTAAGAGGTTCTATTTCAGAATGCATATTTAAATCCTATGGTATTGAAGACATACCTGTCTGCTATGTAACCGATGCCCACAGAGCCAATAAAAAATCCGACATTCACAATCGATTGAAACAGGTCCAGTTTCCATGAATTGGCACATACCAGGTTAAACTGCAGAGATACATCTTAAGTTAGAAGACAATGAAAAAGAAATCTCACCACTAATACTAGAGGGATTGAGCATTTCATATAGTGCTGAACTTATAGCAAGTGTGTACTCAACATTTGTGAATTTGAATTGGTATGGCTTAAAGGCAATAAACTAGAGGCTTTCTTTCTTCACGCTTTTCTTAAGACAACTGGAAATTTGCAATTGAAACCTGCTCTAGCAACTGTTTTTGGTTAGTTTTATTTGCCTGGTTATTTCTATGTAACAGTCACATTCTATCTTCAGGGATCAGAGCCTCAGAGGTGGAAACGACCTTAGAATCCATCTAATCCAACCTATATCTTTTTCAAGATAAGGAAATTATCTTGAATTTGTCTTTGAATGTGATAGAGATATGTGACTTATCCAGCAAGTCTGCACGATATCAACACAATAGCCAGCAGCTTAAAGCATAAGAGTATGGTAGAATCTTTGAATTGAAAGGACCTTGTGAGGTCAGCAAGCTCATAGGGAGATTTGAAAGTTAACTTCAAATATTTTAAGGATTGTTGTACAAAAACGGGATTTGACATGTTCTGTTGGATCCTATTGGGTAGAACTAGAATCAACTTGTAGAAGTTGCAAAGATGTCAAGAAAAATATTTTCTAACAATTAAAGCTGTTCCAGAGTGCCTGGGTTCCAGAAACAAATACGTCTAGGTGCATCAAGATGAGCCATTAGCCCTGGAGTCAGGAGGACCTGAGTTCAAATCTGGCCTCAGACTAGCTATGTGACCCTGGGCAATTTACTTAACTCTGATTGCCTCTCCAAAAAAAAAAAAAAGATGAGCTGTTAGCTTTTATCTTAAGAAAACACATCATCGGTCATTTGGTTCCATTTCTAGCCTTTTATTTACCTTAACTCCGTGAGAGCTACTTCCAACTAGGCACTTTGTTCTAGGGAGATGTGTGTTCAATGACTCTTGGAAATGTCCCAAACAAGCTAATTGGGCTCAATGCATTTGTTGTAGTATCGTTCATAACTAATTTGTCACAACTCAATACAAGCACACCAAACAATTATTCCTCTGTATATCACAGGTGAGTAATTTGAGCACCTTCACATAGCCCAGATGTATTCATTGTACTTCAGTGAATTGAGTGCCCAGGAATTGAATATATTTACGTCCAACACACAGTCCATGTGTCTCATTTAGCAAGCTCTTGAGGAATTGGCTAAGACTTACCTCAGTGACAATGGAGGAGCCTGGAGTGTCGTATACCCAGCCATCCTGACAGGTGGTAAGAGGGATGTGGCTCCCGTTGCTGGTAAAATTGGCAAAAGGGTCCGTGCAGCTGAGGGCTGTCTGATTCCAGTCCACGTCATATCTCCGGCACTGGCTGATAAAAGCGTCTCCTGGTAACCCCAGGCCTGGCACTGTGTAATTCAGCTCCTCTTCCAAACTCCAGCCACATCGTTTGCTTAGCTCTGAAACTCCAGGGTTCAGGCAGCGGTGATCTGGGGTGAAGCCCAGGAAAACAATCCCCACATAGATGGGGGTGAAGGTGGCAGAAATTAGGGACAAAATAAAAAAGGTTTGTTTCTGGAAGAAGTTAAATTCCCCAATGTGCTCTAGAATGTCATCTACAGTGGGCATTATTCCTGGAGGCAATGCTAGTCCCGCTGGTCTTCTCAGCACTGCTCGAAAATTTTGCTGACAGGCTGTTTAGAGCTCTGCAAAACTTTTGACCAAAAGTCAAAGGGTGACAGTTCATTTACTTTACAAATTGACCAGCCTTTCATCTAGACCTTTACTTTGTGAGAGCCACTTCCAACTGGGCGCTTTGTTTCAGGGAGATGTGTGTTCAGTGATTGTTGGGAAGCCAATCGGGCTGAATGTGTTTGTTGTAATATCATTGGTGGCTTGTTTATCGCTACTTAATACAAACACACCAAACAATTATTCCTCTGTATAACACAGGTGAGTAATCTGAGCACCTTCATAGATCCCAGATCCATTCATTCTATCTCAGGAAAACTGAGTGCCCAGGAATCAAATATATTTAAATCCAATACACAGCTCTTCTCTTCCTCTGTACGAGAAGGTAAACTATATTTCTTTGGCCTTATTACAGAGCAAAATGTTAATAGGTGGTCTGGGGATGAAGCTGTGATATAATTCCAAGTCAGTTTATTAAGATCTCTCTGTGTTTCTTGTTGTACTGGGTGCCCCTCATATGCAACCATGATGCTATTCATGTCGTGTTGGCAGATAAACATCTCCAATTTTGATTTCACTAATGAAAAGTGAGTGTTTGGGGCCTCAACCTGGCATTCTTGTCTCATCCCCATACAATACACTTACCTTTGACCTAAATATTTTTATAAAGACTTTATTGTCAGTGTGTTGGTTTAACGTATTCATTCTACTCTCTACATGTCCTGTACATTTTTGTCCATGTTAGCAGTGAATGTTTAAGTGCTCTGGCAAATGTATCTAAATTCAAGGGAAGTATGTCAGTCTTAGAAAAGGAAACAAACAATCTGTCTGTCTATGTGGGTCAACAACAGAATCCTAAAAGTTATTTTCAAGCTGCCAAAGAGAGTAGGTCGCCTATTGTTTCATCTGCATAATAAGTGCCAGAAATTTAATCAAGTTTTCTTGTGCATTTGTTTTTCCTACAAGAGCATTCCTCCCAACTGCCCCACTTCCATTTTCTCTTCTTCTAAGGTAATAGGAGGCAGTAGGATTGTCAAAATTAATAATGCATTTGCTGGGTCCTACAGCCAATATACATTTATTAAGAGTTTCAGGAACTGTGCTAAAAGCCTAAGAGCTGGGATACAAATACAAGCATAAAGTCTGCCCTCAAGGAGCTTACATTCTAATGTGCAAAGATGGCATATAAAAGGGAGCTGAAAAGAAAGAAGATACCTGTGGTGCAGGGCATGGTGGTGAAGTTTGGAGTAGCACAGGTGAGAGAGGAATAAAGTCTGGGCCTATCCCCAAAATGGAAGCACCAGAAATAGCTTCCAATATAAGAAGGAAGATGACTTGGTAGGGGGATGTTCCAGTGTGAGAAGGCCCTAGGAGGTAAGGGAAGATACAGAGTGGGAAGACTTCTGAGTCATGAGGGCAAAGATTTAAGAGTCACAAGTACAGATCCTATAGACGGGATCATTCTGCTGGATGGTTCTTGGCCAGCAAATATGATCTTTGTCACCACTAGCCCTGTTTGGTATCCAGCACATGAGAAGATATGGTCTGATGTATCTCTGGTCCAAGAAGTTTTGGGTGTTTCTTACTACTAATTGAGGACCTAATCTCAAAGCTTCCTGGGACTTAAGTTGAATATGGTCGGATATGTAGATGTTATATTCATGAATGGGGTGGTATAACCAGACCAAATACGATATATAGTGTCTGAGGCAATGAAATGCCCAGTGTTTGAATCACCTATATTGTGTTGCCATGTGGGGCTCATCAGCCCCATTTGGCACAAAACACGGTGACTTGTTTGCTACAGTGACCTAATTACTTACCCAAATCTCCCCAGATGTGTTTTGCCTTGCATCAGATAAACAGTGTCAATTCTTGAGTTTACATAGATCTCTAAGTGCAGAGGTCTGTTTCATATTCAAAAATGAACATTTTAATCCACACAATAAAATCAAATGCAAAACCAAAACCGTAAAACAGCAAAGGGAAGCAAACTGATTCTTTCAACTATAGGCCAGTCTGCTTTACTTTGACTCATAGCAAAGGTCCAAAACATTATTAAAGGAAAGCTTTGTGAGCATTTAGAAAGGGAAACTCATTATTGTCCTCCTTAATGGAATTATTGATTGTTTTTATGATTTGTTCTTTAACTCACTCGTTCTTTAAGATTAGGTTATTTAATCTCCAATTAGTTTTTAATCTGTTTCTGTGGTATCTTATTAAATATAATTTTTATTGCATTGTGATCTGAAAAGGATATTCTTAATATTTCTGCTTTTAACTATAGAATTTTTATGTCCTAATATATGGCCAATCTTTGTAAAGGTACCATAAACCGCTGGGAAAGAGGTATATTTCTTTTATATGCATATATTTGTTTTCCTTGACTATGCATATTTGTTACAAAGAATTTGTTTTCATTTTTTCTTTTTACAGTAGAAGGGAGGAGAAATAGACTTCTGTTCATTTTAAAAAATATTTGAAATAGAAACATGGGGCAGGTGGTGCTACAGATACAGAATGCTGCATGCACTTTCAGATGAAGTCACTGTTTACTTGCTGTTTACATTCCTGCTTTACTTTATTACAAGAGTCCTCTCACAAAGTGGGAGTAAGTCTATAAATATTTGTAATGTGAAAACAAAACAGATCAATAAAATTTTTAAAAAAAGAAAGAAAAAGGTAAATTCCTTTTCTAGTCTACTTTGTTATGGACATGCTTATTTTATTTCTTAAGTTCAGAATAAAATAAATAAAATATAAAAAGAAAGAAAGGGAAGCTATGATTACTGAGAGCCAGTATGACTTTGTCAAAAACAGCTTACACCAAGTTAACCTCATTTCCTTTTTTAAGAGGGTTTCTTTTTCTTTCTTTTTTAAAATTTTTAATGGTATTTTATTTTTTCCAATTACAAGTAAAGACAATTTTCAACATTCACTTTTTAAAAAAGCTTTTGAGTTCCAAATTTTTCTCCTTCCTTCCCTCTTCACCTCCCTCCCCAAGAAAGCAAGTAATTTGATATAGGTTATACATGTACAATAATGTAAAACATATTTCTACATTAGCCATGATGTAAAAGAAGAAACAGAGCAAAAGGAAAAAAACACAAAAACAAACAAAAAAAGTGAAAATTGTATGCTTCAATCCGCATTCAGACTCCATAAGTATTTCTCTGGATGTGGTTAGCCTTTTCCATCATGAGTCTTTTGGAATTGTCTTGGATCATTGTATTACTGAGAAGAGCTAAGTGTCTCATAATTGAACATCTTAAAATGTTGCTGTTACTGTGTACAATGATCTCCTGGTTCTGCTCACTTCACTCAGCATCAGTTCATGTAACTCTTTCCAGGTTTTTCTGAAAGCATCCTGCTCATCATTTCTTATAGCACAATAGTATTCCATCACAATCATGTACCACAACTTGTTCAGCCATTCCCCAATTGATGGACATCCCTTTAATTTCCAGTTCTTTGCCACCACAAAAAGAGCTGTTTTGGAGGGTTTCTTTACAGATAGATCAGGAGAACACCAATACTATGTGCCTAGATTTTAGCAAGGTGTTTGAAAAAGTCTCTTGTGGTATCTTTGTAACTGGAAAGATATGGGCTAGAATCAGGGGTGGGGAACCTGTGGCCTTGAGGCTGCTTGTGGCCCTCTGAGTCCTCAAGTGCAGCCCTTTGACTAAATCCAAACTTCACAGAACAAATCACCTTAATTACAGGATTTGTTCTGTAAAACTTGTACTTATCAAAAGGCTACACCCAAGGACCTAGAAGGCAACATGTGGCCTCAAGGCCACAGGTTCCCCACCCCTGAACAAGCAGTTGTATTTTGAATTAGTTCAGTGACCAAACCCAAAGAGTTAATGGATCTATATCTCTCTGAAAGGATGTTTCTAGTGGAGTACTTTTGAGATCTGTGTATCCGGCATGGAGTCTATCTGTTCTCTCTGATATTTAGATAAATTCTATTACTTTGGCATTTCTTCAGTGTTTTTATTAGATGACTTGTATGAAGGCATGACAACTTATTCAATTTGTTGATGGCACAAAGCTGGGAGGGATAGCAAAAACAATGAATCAGAGAGTCAGGATTTTTTAGCTCTTGATTGGTCATAATTAAGGTAAAATTTAATAGGTATAAATGTAAAATCCTACAATTAGATTTAAAAATTTACTGCACAAGTCCAGGATGAAGGTGGCATATCTAGACAGCAATTCACAGGAAAAGATTTGGGAGATTTAGCGCAATAGAAGCTCCATATCAGAGGACAATGTGGCAAGACATCCCAAAGAGCCAATATTTTCATAGAAGATCAGTTTAGCCTTTGTTCTTAGAGTTATAGCGTGCAGAACTAGGGAGGTGACCATTTCACTGTACTCTCCCCACTTTCAGATACTGGAATATTATCTTTAGTTCTGGAGAGCACCTTTCGGCCAGACTACAGAGCAAATGCTAACACATGGTCTTTGGACAAAGTTGTCATTCAATTTCAAAGCAATTTGGAGAGAGTTTTATTTTTGTGCTTCTTATTGTTTGTACTGAGTGCACCCTCCATACTAGAACAACGATACTCATTCAGTGTACTGGTGAGTTGAAACCTCTTATCTTTATTTCCCAAGTTTACAATTGTATCAAAAAATGTATACGCATGGGGCTCCATTTTGTCACTGTTCCTTCAGACTTATAGAATGCACTTTCCTATTTGTTTTATAAAGTCTTTAATGTTTTATTGAGGAACTGGCGTAGGTCTAGAGGAAAGTAATTGCATTGGTGAGAAGACCAGAAACAGTGTCATATGAGAATTAGTTAAAGGAGCTGGGAGTGATTAGCCTGGAGAAGAGAAGATTGGGAGTGGGGGAAAGAGGACATAGAACATATTCTTAATAGAAAGGAGAAATTAGATTTATACTGCTTTGTCCCAGAGGGTAGAACT